GTGCAGGGAAAGGGAAGACAGGCAGGGAATGTGGAGGGAAAGGGAAGACAGGCAGGGAATGTGGAGGGAAAGGGAAGACAGGCAGGGAATGTGGAGGGAAAGGGAAGACAGGCAGGGAATGTGGAGGGAAAGGGAAGACAGGCAGGGAATGTGGAGGGAAAGGGAAGACAGGCAGGGAATGTGGAGGGAAAGGGAAGACAGGCAGGGAATGTGGAGGGAAAGGGAAGACAGGCAGGGAATGTGGAGGGAAAGGGAAGACAGGCAGGGAATGTGGAGGGAAAGGGAAGACAGGCAGGGAATGTGGAGGGAAAGGGAAGACAGGCAGGGAATGTGGAGGGAAAGGGAAGACAGGCAGGGAATGTGGAGGGAAACCGCAGGGAGAGGGAATATAGCAGGAGGTGGGTAGTAGAGGATCACGCCATCCAGGGGGAACGACGACATAGCCTCTCGCGGGCCCTGCTGTTTAGTTTACCCTGGAGCCATTGTGGCTCTCAATCCTGGTTACGTCGTGTGGATGGGTGGATGAAGAGGTGTGGGGGAGAGGGGCCGCCAAAACCCAGCCGCTCTGAGCCCGGTCCGGCTTTCATTCCGGCCACATATGAACCAAAATGCGTCTCGTCTACGTGGCGTGACTCGCCGCAGCGTGATGATGCGGGTGAATTTGGAACGGCTCGTGAACCCCGGCCTGACTTGCTTCCCACTTGACTTGTGCCCAAACGCATGGACAGACGCACGGTTGAAAACGCATTAACACACCTACACACACCTACACACAAAGGCCCATTAAAACACACCTACACACACAGACGAGGCGGCGTTGGCGCACACACTTGGCCCCATGCAGGTGGGCGATAACGTCACGGCTTATAACAATTTTGAGCGCACGTTTTGCATCCTGGTCTTGATCGCGGGGACTTTCTTTTACAGCGCTGTGGTGGGCCAAATGGCAACCCTGGTCGCAACAATGAACGTCGCAGTCAACCGCCACGGGTACGACACAGTACGGCAAGGGGCTTTTCCTGGTTGGTGGGGGCGATCGGGTCCAATGCCTGTCCTGGAGTGACGGGTGCTGCATGTTTGGCGTTTTTGATTCTGCCTTTGTGTGTGCGTGTATATGTGTGTGTGTGTGTGTTCAGAAGAGGTGCAAGCACTGGTGCTGTTGCCGTTGTTTCCCTATCTCGCTAGTTCGCCCTTTTCCTCCCCTCCCCATACACCCGCCCCGATGGTTTGTTTTCTCCCCCCCCCCCACACACACACCCGCCCACCAGCGCCACCAGCGCCGTTTCTTGTTCGGAAAGTTGCGTTATTGCATGGCCCCCCGGGAGTGCGTGTTTCGGAATGTGTCGGTAGTTGACCATTTGACTTAAGTAAGCGTCCCATGATATGAAAAATGATATGATTATTGCCCCCCACCCTGCCTGCCTGTTCGCGGCCACTGCCGCTGCCTCCACTGCCGTCGTCGTCGCAGACAGAAGCTGTTGATGGTGCAGGACGCGCTGCGGTACGCGGGCGTACCGGACGAGTACAGCGAGAAGGTGCAGAAATATTACGAGTACCTGCAGCAGAGGTCCCACCCTGGAGCGGAGGGAATGCAGTTCCTACAGGTGAATGAGTTTGTGGGGCGTGGGGTTGTGGGGTGGGGGGGGAGGGGGGAGGGCTGGCTCCGCCGGAGGGTTGCCTGCGGTGTATGGGAGGGCGGAGGTACACGCACACCCACACACGCTCTCTCTCACTCTCACTCTCACACACACGCATACACAAAACACAGCAGCGGAGGCAATGTGCACTGGATGCGGCTTCACGGAAGCTTGGGTTGGGATCTACAGCCGGGGTGTGGGAGATGGGCCCTTGGATGGCAGGCGGGTTGGTGTATGTGTGTGTGTGTGTAAACTAGGAGACTTCCCCCCCCCCCAAACACACGCACACACACGCGCGCGTACACCTCGCTTCCGCCATTCATACCTCTCCACCGGGGCCCTGTCCTGTCCTGCTTGGCGATCTTGGAGACCTGGAGGCCCCGGGCTCCTTGACTTGGCGTGTAATAGCCCCCCCCCATTGGGGCCCCGCACGGCCACCCTTCGCCCTGGCAGCACCTTCACCCGTTCGATGTCCGTCTTTCCCCCCTTTCGCCCCGTCCCGGCCCCAGGATCTTCCCAGCAGCCTGCAGCTCAACCTGTGCCAGTTCCTGCACCTACGGAGCCTACAAAAGGTAAATGACTGAGGAGCTGGCTGGGAGGAAGGTAAATGACTGAGGAGCTGGCTGGGAGGTCTGTGTGCGTGTGTGTGTGTGTGTGTGTGTGTTGGGGGCGCCAGGAGGTAAAAAATGCTGGTTTTGCCAACAACGACACCCGCTGTTCCTTTCCGCGTCTTTTGGGCCTGGGTTTTTGAAGCCTCTCTCCAGGGGTGGTGTTGGTGGTGGTGATCCTGGTTTGGATTCCAGCAAGCTGGTGGCGGTGGTGGTGGTGGTGATTTGGACGTGTTGTCGGCCCAGTTGGTTTTTTTATTCTTTGCTTCCTCTTTTGCAGCATATGGTTTTCCCTTTGCCTCGGTGAGGTGAGGTGAGGTGAGGTGAGGACTTGGGGTGGGGTGGGGTCTATGAGGGCAGGAAGGCGTTTTTTTTCGACCGAGGGGTTTAGCGCAGCGAAGGGGAAGAACATGCAAGCAGGCGGCCGCCGCGAGTATCCCCCATCCCCACTCCACCCCGCGTCGATGCCCGATGCCTAGTGCCCCTAGATGCCCGATGCCCAGTACCCAGTACCCACTGCCCGGTGACGCACAGTGCCTCCCAACGCCACACCACACCACCCGGTGGTGCACCTACCGCCCCCTTACTGACGCAGGTGCCCCTGTTCCTAGACTGTGAGGAGGGCTTTATGAACGCCCTGGCGCTGCGCATCCGCATGATCTCGCTCAGTCCCTGCGAAGTCATTTTCCGCGTGGGCGACGTGGGCAAGGAAATGTACGTCATCCGGAAGGGCTGTGTGGCCGTTACATCTCCCACGTACACCATGTGGGGTCTGCTGCAACCCGGGGAAATCTTTGGAGAGGTGGCGCTGCTGAGTACGGGCAAGCGTACGGCGAACTGTACGGCGCTGGGGTTTGTGGACCTGGCTGTGCTCACGGGGCCGGACCTACAGGTGGGAGGCGATACAAGTGGTGGTGGTGCTGGTGGTAGTAGTGGTGGTGGTGGTGGTAGTAGTGGTAGTAATTGCGGCATTGCGCAATGACGATGATGACGAAGGAGGGACAGAGCAGCAGGGGGGAGAGACGCCTCTTTGGACGTCTCTCAGCAGTTGAACCTTTTTGTTGCTTTGCTTTCTGTTTGCCCACATGATCCCCTACGTTTCTGCATTCTCCTCATATACCTTCCTCTCCCCCTCTCTCCCCCCCCAAATTCACTCGTTCGTGGTTCATCTTTCCCCCCAAATGGGTCCCTTTCTACCCCCCCGACCAGGCGGTCATGCGGGACTACCCCGTCAGCGCCGCCATCATCTACGAGCGGGCGGCGGCCAGGGCCAGGGCGTTACAGGTATGTACGGGCCGGGAACGGGAGGGGAGGGCTTGAACCAGGAATAGGGCCAGGGCCTTACAAGTATACGGGCAGGAAATCATATATATAATATATAAATCATATATATATGATTTATATAAAATACATCTGACCATGTAATCATTGAATTTTATTATTGCTATCATATTATTCGGAGAGGTCCTTGATATGCAGCGTAGTGTAGGCGAGCTGTATCTACTGAAGGGATGGGCTGTAGGGGAGAGGGGGGTTGGGGTTGCGGCCGGGCGGGGGGAGATACACAGCAAGGCGCAAAGGGGGACTTGACGGCCTTGGGGCTGAAGGGATGGGGAACGGGCCAATGGAGCAGGCAGCGGCGGCTGCAGCTCCGCTGCGTGATTATTGTTGTTGTTGTTGTTGTTGTTGTTGTTGATGGGGTGTTACACTGTGGGCGGCTCGCCCGATAAAGGACGAGCACCGGGGGCCCTGACCGGGCCGAAACACAGCGCAGGGATGGGCGCGCGGCTCTACGTCCGTCTGTTCCTCCGCGCGCGCCTCGATCCCTCACTCACGCCAACCGGGACACTCTCCCAGCCCCTGGCTAGGCAACACAGCGGCGCAAACCGATCTATGCAAGAACCGCACGAAAGGCGCCACTTCGCCTGGCCTGCCTATTCACGCGCTCTCGTCCCTCTTGACCGCCAAAACCAGAACAAAAAGAAAACACCACCGGGGGCAGGGGCTCTACTCGGGGGCCTCCTCTACACACACAAAAGAACCAGGGCCCTACGCAGCCAGCAAGGCAAGAGATACACGGAGGCCCACGGGCCTGAGACGACACACCACAAAAGCCGAGATACGGTTGCACAGAGAAGACCAACGCAAAGCGAGTACTCGCACACTGGTCCTCGAAGGCCAGCTGTTCAACTACCACGAGCAACGAACAACGAACACTTCCCGAGGGTGGCCACCACTACCTCGCCGGTCCACTCACAAACGAGGCGAAACTGGTCCGCACGATGGAGCAGGCAGCGGCGGCTGCAGCTCCGCTGCGTGATTATTGTTGTTGTTGTTGTTGTTGTTGTTGTTGTTGTTGTTGTTGTTGTTGTTGTTGTTGTTGTTGTTGTTGTTGTTGTTGTTGTGTGTGTAATATATTTGTTCCTTGAAAGCATTGAGCCGTTCTTTCCTTCGCGTTCTCGTTTCGTTGTTTCCTGACTGCATGTTCCTTGCCGCCCATCTGCCTCACTCCGCAGAGCAAGAGCAAAATGTTAGAGCTTTTTTTAGATGACGAGTTTTACGACTGCGAGGATCGGGACGACGCTTATGACGGCGGTGACGGTACTTGCAGCGGCGGCGGCGGCGGCGGCGGTGGCCCTGATGACGCGGACAACGACGGCAGCGGTGCCGCCGTCGAGGACGGCGACGCGGACAGTGTCATCACAGGCTCCAGCATCACCAGCGGGTCCCGTACTTACGCAAGCAGTACGACAGGCAGCTGTGGCGGGCGCCATGGCGGCGGCACCATTCCCTCGGGGAGCAACGGCTGCGACAGCGCCGGCAGCGGTGCCGGTTGTCCAGATTCATCAGCCGTCAAGGCCACGGCTATGGCCGTACTTGGCGGCTGTGGCGACGGAGGCGCCGCGGCGTCGGGTTTTACCGCGGATAGTGACCGCGGCGGCGCTAGCGCGTACGGCAGCAGATCACGGACGCCATCACGACAACCATCAGCGTCTTTAAACGGCAAGGCCCTGCCCGTGGCGTGGTACGACGGTGCAGACGCAGATACCAAGCCACCTGCTGCATCGGGCAGCTGCCCGACCTCGCCAAGGCCAGCCCGGTTTGTGGCGCAGTTGCTAACGTCCATGCCAAAACAAGTCCAGCATGAGCAGTCCGACTCGCCGCGGGCATCAGCGCTGCTGTCTTCGCTCTTGCCCGCGCCACACAGAGCCGCCGGTGGCGGCACTGCTACTTCGCCGGCACACTCAGAATCGGCCGCCGCCGCCGACGACGACGACGCCTTGCGAAGCGCCCCGGCGTCACCGGTACGACTGCTGCCGTTCATGGTCGCGAGCAAATGTACCCAACACCCCCCGGCTGCGGCGACGACGGGGCTGGGGTCACCTACATGCACCTGCCGTACCGCGGCGTCGAGGCGCAAAAGCACTAGCGGCTTGGTGCTGACCTTGGCATCTGCTGAAACGGTGGTAGCATTGGGGCCTGCTGCTAGCCCGACGAAGTCAGAGCCGGAGTCGGAGCAGAATACAGAACCCGATGACATTGCTTGGCTGGCGCCGCATCGTCCAGGCGCTTCTTTCGAGCCCGTGTTCTCAGTGGCAACGGAGGAGGTGGCGGCGGTGATGGATCCCAATTCGCCGGGCCTTGGCGCGGGACTGGAGGCGGCGGCGGCGAGCTCACCGCATCCCCAGGATGCTCTGCAGCGTCAACTCCTCCAGCGGTTTGCCAGTCGACAGCGCCAGAGGAGCGCGCGGAAGCGCCAGTCGAGCTCCGGCGGGTTCGGCGGGTTGATGCGCCGGGAATCCATTACGGGTGATGGTTCCGGAGCGAAGAGGGAGACCCTGACGGGAACGGCATCGGCTCAGCGGGAGAGCAATGACTTGGCCATTTACGTAACTACCCTCGGCCCAGGCGAAGCCCTGTCGCCGGCAGCTGCTGCTGCCAATGACGGCGGCGGCGGCGACGGTGACGGAACAGCGACCCGCGGGTCACATCTTGACCGCGTTGCTGGCCCCCTGGCTGAGGCGGCGGAGTCGTTGTCGAACCCCATCAGGCTACAACACGCCGTTCCCGCTGCCTCTCCTTATCAGCAGCCGGACCTCCGCACCTCAGTTGTCGCATGCGCTGCTAGCGGCGGGGGCGGCGGCGGCGGCACCGTTGCCGTTGCCGCTTCCGCGCCAGCGTCCAGAGGCCCAACATCGCCGTTGCCCAGCACAGCGCTATCGTCTGCATGGCGCCGGTCGAGCTCTTTACGGTGGCTCCAATCGAGCTTAGCGGCTGCTGGCGGCGACCCGCCGACCGCTGGGTCCGGCGCCTCCCCCCTTACCTCATCCCCCAGCAGCGTCGCCACGATCCTGCAAGCCAACGGGGCTGCCATCCTCCGGCTCCCTCGCCGCGTTAGCGGCCCCGCTCCGGGCCCTATGAGCCCGTGTGTCGCCGGCGGCAGTGCTGCCAGCTCTGGAGGCAGTCGCTCACTAATCTGTCCCTTATCACCTTGTTTGCCGTCTGGGCCAGCGCCGCAGCCAACATCAGCAACAACAATAACAACAACAACAACAACAACAACACGCCACGCGTCGTGCCTGTCTTCTACAGGTACAAGCGGCGGCGCCGAGCCTGTGCAGGTTGCGGAAGAGGAGCTTGAATGGATCAGCACGCGTCTGTCGTACGGCGGGCCTAGCCGGGCGGCGCCGGCTGCTGCTGCAGGGACAGCGCAGCCGCGTCGCGGCAGCACGTGCAGCATCGTGGACGAGGAGCTCGCGGCGCTGATGCCGCGTTTGCCGGGGGGCCTTAAGCGCCCGACCACCTCGACTAATTTCTGCATCAGTCCGCTACCCCAGCGAGTACCTGGCGGCAGCTGCGGCTCGTCCCAACAACGTCCCAGCATAGACCGCGCTCAGGCCGAGGATCCGGGGCACAAGCTGGGGTTTGCATCGGCTATCGGCACCAGCACGGCCACCAGTTGGGGCACCTGTAGCGCCAGCGCCCGGCGTGCCAGCCTGCAATTACACCGAGGGGACTTGGCTTCAGTGCAATCGCTAAAGGGCGGCGCAGTGAACACCCCGGGGGCCGGTGGCGGGGGCCTGGGGTCACGGAACCCTCGGTCCAGTTGGTCAGGCCACGTCGTGTCCAAATCGGCGGCTTCGGTGCCGGCTTCGCAACAGCCACCGCCATCGCCGCCGTTGCTGCCACCGCCGGACGGCGTGTTCGTGCCGCGGGCATCGTGGGAGCAGCTGATGCAGGCAAGTTGGCGGCGCTAACGCGTGCGGCTGCGTGTGAACCCGCTTGAGCTCCCGCGGCTCACGGATCGAGCCTGTGTGAGGGAAGCTTTTCTAGCCTGTTTGTTCCTAGGTTTGTTAAATTTTTAAAAGCGTGCTTCTTTCCTAGTCATGCTCGTCTCCGATATTTTGCTTTTTTAGTTGATTTGTTGTTTGTTTGTTAACATGCAGGCCGTGTCCCGCCTCGGCTGGTTCGAGGACATAGTCCAACAGCTTCTGGAAATGGTCTCGCAGCAGGAAGAGGCGCTGAGCCGTTTGGAGCACCGTGCTGAGCACGCATCAGCGCTGCGCGCTGCAGCGGGCGGCGGCGCCGCCGACGGCATCCTGGCGGGCATCATGCCGGGGTCGGTGCTGGCGCAAGCGGCCACTGGCGCCGGCAGCGCCGCTGCCACCGGTGGCGGCACCGGCAGCACGCCGGCTACAGGTGCGGCTGCGGCTGGGCTACAAATGCAGCTGAGCTCAAGTGTATATCTTTGGCCGCCGCCGCGAGCCGTGGCGCCCGGCAGCGGCGGCGGCGGCGGCGGCGGGACGGCCAGTGGCGCCGGCGGTGGCGACTCACTTGGGTCGGATTCGTTGGAGGCCAATAATCAGGTGAGCCACCCGTGTACGGCATACACAGCGTATATGAATTACGCTTGTTGTTAGGGGACATATACTCAAGGTACGTAATCGCCGCAATGAGAAGGCATTTAACCATCGCCGGCCATTGCCACTATCCCCCTCTGCCGCCCTACTTGCTCGCTCCTCTGGCCCCCCTTCACAGCGATCTGTCACACAGCGCGCGGCCAGCATACGCTTCCGAAACGACGTCCGGGCCGCTGCGTCCTCAAAGCGCTTTCGCGACAACAGCGCCAGCACCAGCATTGGCTCCAGTCCCAGCCGCTCGCCCGCCACCTCTATCGTGCAATCCGCCGCGGCAACAGCACGTGAGCAGCAGCAGGCTGCTGGGGGACCACCACCGTCACCAAATGCACCTGCGTCCGCGTCGCCGTCGGCATTGGGACCGGTACCAGCAGCCGCAGCAGCCGCAGCAGCCGCAGCAGCAGCTCCGTCCCCTTTCGCGGCCGTGCGAACATTCCGCACCGCTGACGACACGGCCGGTCCGATACGCCTCAGCGACAGAGGCATCAGTCCGCGCCTCCTGTCGTCGAACGGCAACTCACGGTTGAGCGGTGGCACCACCAGCGCCTTGGGCGGTGGCCTGGGTTCAGGCGGCATGGATCTGGACGCTTTGGCAGGCCAAATTAGGCAACCGCACCCCGCCGGGTCGAGCTTCGCACAACTCCTCTCCGCGTCTTCCTCCTCCACAGGGCTCTCACAGACCCAGTCCTACGGCCCAGTCGTGTCGGTGCATGCAGTCAAGGGTGTGCTTAAGAATAGAGGCTCCGGGTCGCCGTTGCAGGTGACACAGCAGCAGCAGCAGCACCCGTCCGTCACACCGCCCTCCGGGGGAGGGATCCTAATGCTCTCTCCAAAGAACGTGAAGAGCTAGGACGGTGAGAGGAGGGTCAACGGTCCGTCGCTGGATATGGCAGATCTAACCTTATTGGTCTTCCGAATACTGATTTTTTTGTGTGCCTGCTTTTATTGATTATAGTCCGGATTGGGGCCCCAAGGCCCTCGGAACACGACAATGCAATGGCGTACAGTAAATCACGTGACATCGTACAGTAAATCACGTGACATCTATGTGCCAGAGGACCAAGTACATGGCCAAGGGCATGAGAGGGAGAGAGAGACGGAGAGAGAGAGGGAAAACTAATTGTACGGGAAGTACTCTTTAAGAGCCCGAGGGAGCGCGTGGACGCGCGAGTTCTCATTGGCGTATGCTTTTTTTGACTTACAGGCGCATAAGAGAACTGAAGACGCAATCCATTTTAACGCTCTCGCCCTGCATGCTCGCATCCACACTGTCCTGTGCAAGGATTGCTGTTTCTCCGCTTCGCGCAATGGCGCGAGCGGCTCCTGGGCTTGTGACCCGTGTCCCTCCCTGACCTGTCTTGTTTTGTTCCGTCCTGTCGTGACCAGCGTCACGTCACTGCTTCCCTCTTCCGGTACACCGGAGCCCGTGTAGCGACCAGGCGGCGGGTTCGCATGGCATGTGGTTGGGGGCCCTAATGACTTGTTGACCGACGCTTGAGGGGAATTGGGCAGTGCAGCTGTCTGTTCGGCCTTGCCGTTGGTGTTGTATTGGCGGCCTTGGGTGGTGGTAGAAGGTCGCCAGGAAAACCGGGTGCGCGGGACTCATGTTGATTTCCAGATTCCATGCCATTTGCATTTCTGTGCTGCTTTTCCATGGGGTCCTTGGGGGTTCGTTAGAGGGGGGTAGCACACTGAGATAAGACCAAGCGAGGTGAAGAGAGACCTGTTTTTGAATTGCGGGGGATGGTGTCATATGGAGAGCAGGTTTCGCTTTGGCAAGGGAAAACGCAGCTCTGGCCAATTCTGCGGCCGTAGCTGTGCTAACACATTTGAAGTGCGACATATAGAGATATATGTCTTGGTTCGTGATAGGGATTATAGAGCCTTGTTGTTATTTTTGAGGGAAGGCGTCGGTGCGCTCGAAATGCCGCTGCGCACGTGTTTCGCACACCGCCAAGCTCCCGTATGTTTTGAAAATCCGCATGTGCATGCGATGTGCGTGTGATCTGCATTCATGTTTCACGTATGCGGTGCGTTCGACAAGATGAGAAGATCAGAGGTCTGTAGCGCGTGAATGTCCATTGACGTTTCGAGGGCATGACCTCCCCTGGTACAGCGGAGGAGAGCCTGTCCGGGCCCCATCCTGCGCCCGGTTTGCTCCCTTCCTGGCTTGGCGACGACAAGGTGGCCTCGCCTTCGGCCGACGCCGGCCCGCAACGTGTGAACGTGGGATGCGGGGTCTCTTGTCGCCTGGACGCGTAGGCTCCGTATTCCGTGTGCGTGACCTTGTCGGGTAGGGCGATTGCCGGGGGAGCAGGGAGGGAAGGTGTTGTTACAAATCGAGGAGTTGGCTGACCGGCGGGAAACATGAGTGCTGCGCCTTGACTCGTCCTTAACGACTTGTGATGACTTCTCGTCCTCTGGCCGGGGAACAGCCTCCCCAGCGCAGTGTGCCTCCCTGCAGCATCCCTCCGGTGGTGTGCCCGTGTGGGGGAGGTACTTCCAACCGAGGCAGAGAAGGCAATAAATCGCTTAGTTGAGTCGATGCGTTAGCTCGAAAGTTAATGGAAGTAGGATGGGGATTGAGAAATCGGAGACACGCAGGTATGCATCATGCATCACTCAGTTTGCCGTTTGCTCTATTGTCTACCGACTCTCGCTGTATTGCCTGCACAGGGGCATGTCTACCCCAGGAGACGTGAGGGGTTGTGACACTGCGGGTGTTCGAGGGTTGCATTTAGGGCGTGTAGTGTGCGTGTGTGTGTGTGATGTTCATGCATAGTTACCTTGAGGGCGATGTTATTGGTGGGATATGCAGTGCTGGGGTTCGTCCATCGGCACGCAACGCCCGCCGTGCCGTCATGCTGTGTTCCAGTATATCATTACATGCTTTCTTTTTTTTGCTGATCTATATTCCGCCAGAAACATCGAGGCCTGGGTATATAGCAGCTTGTTTTTTGTTGCGGTGCAGTAGAAGGATGCGTGCTCAGTTGGAATTGTGATATATATATATATATATATATATATATATATATATATATATATATATATATATATATATATATATATATATATATATATATATATATATATATATACATATATATATATATATATATATATATATATATATATATATATATATATATATATATATATATGTGCCCCGTATGCTGCTCTGAAGTCAGCCTGTGCTTCTTGTTGTGTGCATTCAGGGCTATCTACCTTGTGCCAGGTTGGGCTGCAATGGGCTTTACCAAGCGAAATTTACATACGGCTTTCGCGTTAAGTTACACATCATGCCAGAGACATTATCCAGGTGGCATGAATGGCTATAGTAGAATCAGAGGAAACATATACAAAATGCCACACCTTTTTCGTCGCCGCTGCCATCAGCATCGGCGTCGGCGGCTGCGATAGCACCAGAGCCGCGCGGCGTGGTATTTTGCCGTTCCGTTAAACCACTCGTCGACATGCGGCGGTTTCCGTCCCCTGCTCCATGTAGACATATTCGGCCTTTTGGAAAATCTCCCTTCAGGTTACACACTGCTTTTCGTAAGCTACTGTCTTTCCTGGAAGAGTTATTATGCCAGGTTATGTTGGCCGCTACCGCGTCGTTCATTATACGCGGGTGTGAGCGTATGTATGTATGTATGTGACTTTGGTCGTTCAACGCGCAGAGCCATGAGTGTTTCATGCACGGTAGGTCAGCATTAAACGTGTGTGTATGTATGTATGTATGTATGTTTGTTTGTGTGTATGTTTGTGTGTGTGTATGTGTGTGCGCGCTGTGGCGACCACGCGACCATTACGGCGTAGTAATGGCCGAATGACACAGCGTGTGTGTATATGACCAGACTGACTTCAGCGTTCGGATCTTCGGTTTGGTTGGCTGGGTTCTTTTAAAGAATTGCGTCCTTGCCGCGGGAAAACGCACAGAGGCTAGTAATGACAATAACACAACAAGTACAATAAACGTGCGGCTGCCGTAAACGGGCGTGAATTTTTGTTTTCACCGGTACCTTCGAATGTGTCCTCCTCAGAGCACCCCCGAAACAGCGGGCGCTAGGTTGCGTTGTTGTTGTTGTGGGTTGCTGTCGCGGCGTGCATGATGACGTGTAGCCTGCAGGTGGCGCTCAGCAGCTATAAGAAGTACTGTGCGTGTGCACGTGTCTGTCTTTGGAGGTAGTGTTATCTGGTGCTATAAAATGTTTTCTGCGTGCACGTGGCTTATGATATTAAGACGATTAAGACGGTATAAAGGACACAGGTAGACGCGCAGCGCGGGTCATATGCGGTATATCCGTTGGTTGGTTGGCTGCTAGTTTATTGGTTGGTTGGTTGGTTGGTTGGTTTAAGTCTTCCGGCGTGGGCCGGGGCCCGTCACCCCGCACAGCAGTAAATAAACTGTAAGCGGTTAAAAGGTTGTAATTGTTATGGCAGTGCTGGGTAGGTGTCAGTGGGGCGAGATTGGCTACGCTCTTCCCTGCTCCTTCAATGGTGTACTGGGTGCGCCTAGCTGACGTGTACCCACACGGGACAAAAATACATGTGTAATAAATTCATATGGGGCAGTGGTGACACATAAGAAAATACACAACGTTGTGAGTGCTTGCGACGACGTTGCCTCTCTCCAACCCTGCCTATTACCAGCAGTTCTGAAAGGGTAATGTTTCGACTGCGGACGTGTGCCTATCTGCAGGGTTTGAGGAACGGTAAGATAATAATCAGGAATCGGCAACCTGAAAAACGAGTCCGACGGCACACAGTTGACCGCCGAGAGAAACAGTGCACCAACGGTGCGGGCGTCCAAGGGGTTCCCTTCGCTTGACACCCTATTATTAAAGTGCTACTCTAGAGGAGCTGGTGAACTGGCAACCGTCTATTTTGGCAGCAAATATTTTCCGACGTGTGGCTTTTCCGACGTGTGGCAGAAACAAGTTTAACAGGCAGGGGGGCCTGGGATCCGGCATGCATGTTGAGGATGTAGGCGGCCTTCTGCGTCCTCTCGCCCTTGCCGACTCTCCCAATCTCAGCCCAAGGTTGCCACCAAGCGCGCGTTCCCGTTCACTCCGGTATTCCAACAAACCGGATTAACGTTGCGATCTCACAGCGCGCGTTGCGATATGGGCATTGGTAGAGCTAAAAGCCTGCTTAGCAGGGTCATCGGTTCATGGGCAGCTTCCCATGATGTCGTATCCTTGCTTGCATGGTGTAGAACAACACAGGGCCCATGCAATTACACGCAATGTGCGGGCTGGGTGGGCTGTTGATGTGTGCAGTGTAAGGGGTGTATATGTAACGGCTACGGATGTAGCTGTCTGTTGACTGTGATGGTGCAAAGGAGCACATGCTTCCTCTGTGTTTCATTTATGCGCGCGTATTTGCCGAGAGCTTATTCTGATCTCGTACCTGCAGATTAGCAGACCCTTTAAAGGTGTATTGCCAACAGCCGCTGCGGCCAAGTTTGGATGCGCCTCCACGCCTGGAAGCAGCCCATGACTTTCTTTGCAGGCCACCGGTTATGAGGTACGAGCGCCCAAGTCGAAGCGCTGTCCGTCCTGCCACCTTGCCCGCTTTGAGGGCGGGACTTCGTTGTTTTCGGCTAGGGAGAGGCTTGCACTGGCAGTCGCTGTAAGCATCGCTACAGGTTGCATTTCGGTGGAACTGAAGTATGGACCGTTCTTGCAGGGCAGACGGTGGTAGGCATTCTACTCGGGGAGTTGATGCCTACGCCTGGAGCTCGTCGTACAGCGTGACGGTGGTGACTCCTTCATGACGGCGCAGTGGAAAGGTGGCCAGTTGAATGGTTGAAATGAGGCCCGATGGTATTCCGCGTGACAGCCTATGACAGTGGATTTTAGCGACGTGGGAGGACACGGGGAAACAGCCGCAGAATGCCAACAACGTTCTGCTCCTGAAGACCGCGGTGTGAACACCCTTGTATTACAGCGATATCGCTGCTGCTCCACCGCTGAATGCCCGTATCGCAAAACGCGCTGTGGGGTCGAAACGTATAAGTATGAAGAAATACCGGGATCAAGGAGGACACGTCCTTGATGGCAGCCTTACATACAGTCCATTGCTTGAGGATAAGGTTGGCAGGGTCGCAGCCGCAGAAGATCTCCCCCAACGGATCCATACCCGCAGCCAGCGCGTCAATGATGGACTACACCGAGTCATTAGTTTCACGGTGCACGGAGAAGCATAGCCGGAAACTGATGAGACGGGAGGGGTGGTGCGCTATGTTCTCCTACGCAACGTCAAAAGTCGCATGGTACAAATTTAGTCCGTTCGCCGAGCCATGCACACGCTTAAAGCCAGGATGTAATGCAAAACCCTTTCGGTGTTGATTTTAGGTGCGAATTATTTGGACGAAGCGCACGCGCTGTAGGAAGTGATAAGCAGGAATACTGTGTCGCACCCATGCTTGTCACTGCTGCGGTTTCGCTAGGGCCTTGGCCTTGCCGACCCGATGGTCGGCCGCGCCAAGAGCGCTCGTTTAGGGTCTGTGGCAACAATCATGCAGTCACGTGTTGCTAGAGTGTCCCGAGTACAACGAGCTACGGGAAGAGCTATCAACCTAGGTGTACGCCAGGGCCCGTGCCTAACAGAGGTCTGTCATGGAGATAGCTGATCAGCGCGGACTTGCGCAGATCGTACACAGCATGTGTATGAGGCGACGCACGCTGATAGCCGAGCTTAACTTGGCTAGTTACTACTGTAGTAACTTACTACTTAAAGGTCGCTTACCCTAGTTACTGTTTTCTCTCGCAGATGGAGTTAATTTTCTCTGTTTCCGTTTTCGTTCTTTCTTCTTTTTGGCTATGCTAGGACTCGCGTCCATGAGCATCCTGGCTCGTTTGGGCCGTACGAGCTCTCGCGAGCTTGTAACATAACGCATAACACATGTCGCAACCAAAGTGAAATTTCTTTAGACGTTTAGTTCACGTCCTGGTATACTAACAACTTGTATATTCCAAGGCAAACCAGCGGTCCGGAAGGGACAAATCAACTTCCATCTTTCACGAAGTCAACCTACTGCGAAAGCTTAGGTCGAGGGACTGCCCTAAAGGATGCGGCTGCAACAGCGTCAAGTAATTGGCCGTTCTCTTCCTGTTTGCGTTCCGTGCGTGACACGGTGCCGGAAACTAATCACAGTTCCGAGGGCAAGACCAACCCCTGCGGCTACTTCAGGCGCAGACCTTACTACTAGTTATATAATTGAACCTGTCAGCTTTGGTACGTAGCGTCCAAAATCAATGGCACGCAAATTGGTGTCGGAGCGGAAATGGGCCTTTGCAGTCTGAGCTTTGGACACTTTGCAGGGGAGGATGCTGTCTTGGAGTGCCCCGATATGCGTTCAAAGCTGCAGCCAAGGTCAGTGCAAGGGTTTGCAAAACCACCACCATCATGGCTTTGCAACACCCCCCCGCCTTCCTCGCTGCAACACCCTCCTCGCCTTCCACGCTGTCCCATTTTTCTACCTTGGCTGCAGGCCCAGTCCATTCGTTGTGCATAACAACTTTGGCGGCGGCTTCGGTGCGTCTTGCACAGGGCATGTCGCATGTCGGGGTTGCCAGACGTCCATGCAGCGTGCAGGACACCATCGCCCTGCATGAAACCCCTGCTCTTTACGGGAAGGTGCTGCACATGCGTCTGAGTCCGTGCCTGGGGTTTACATGGGGCTAAGCATCGCTCAGGAGCGAGCACCGCTACCAGTGTATGATCGCCCATTCCATTTCATTGCACTTCCCGTTATCTAAAAGCGATGAGATGTCCCTTTACTTAAGTGACATACACACATGTGCTCCTTGTCGTTGATTGTGACGGTGACGTGTTGCAGCGAGATGTTGCCAGCGCATCGTCCTGTCACTCCTGCCAGGAGTCTTGGCAGCTTAGGCAAAGGTCGATTGCCCCAAAGCTCGCTCACCAAAGGACGTGATAGTCAAAAACCTCCTGTTCGCACAGGATGATTGGTTGCACTACGAACTTGAGCTCAGGCCAGACAGAGCGCGTATCAAGGCCCTTTCCCCACCATGCCCGCAACTCTCTTCCATCCCCACTACTCGGCACTTGACAGCTTCCCTGACCCTCTTCTCCCCATGTCTCCGTTTGCAGTATCGGACAACGATCGAGTGGCCCTTAACTCGATGCGCTTTGCGTCCGCTGAGTCAGCTGGTACGACATGTGGGCCGCGAAGGCGGGAATGCTTGTCGACCCTCAGCGTGCATCAGACCCGTCATGCGGAACCTGGCTCCCATCCTCCTTGTGCCTCCGCTTGCTCTTGTCCATCTCTCCAGCGTTGCAATCAGCAATGCATCAGCACACTGTGCACCCGCGCTGCACCCCAATGCGTTTCCCTTGCACGGCGCTGAACGTATGGCTATGTCCACTTATCCCTGCTGCCGTGGCGGCATCTCAGTGCCCCTCCCTCCTTCCAAATCGCCCTCTTAACCCCCTCATTTGCACAGTTGACCCTTGTCTTCTTTTGCTTGTTTCGTAATAACGTGCTCTCCAGGTGCCAGTCGAACATCCGGGGAGGGTCAGGCCAAGAGCAGCGTCAACGTTCTGGAGGCTTCCATGGACCAACTAAATATGACGTTGCCGCCGTGGGCTATCCGGGCGGGGGCGCGGAAGGAAATATTCTTTGATCCGCAGCAGGTAAGGGGAGATCGGATGTGGTGGTGGCTCGCGTGAAGCCGAGAGCCTCCTTTACGGTGGACAATCTGGGGGGCTACTATGTAGAGCTGTCTGTTGCTCGATGGAACGGAGGTCACACGGGTCTGGGAGGTGGTAAGAATGGGGGAAAAACGATGCGGAGAGGGGGCTCACACGGGATCAAGTCCTCGTGTTTCCTCTTAACTCAGGAGTCCGGGCTAGAATAGAAACCCCTCCGCGTCGCGACTTGGGCTCCGGAAGTTGTTGGCGCTTTGGCGATATCGGCAGTCGCACCTAGGAGTTTAGCATTGTACAGTGCCAAAGGCTCCCCCGACCCTGACCTGCTTTCGGCGGCCGCTGTTCGTGACATCCGGGGATGAGCTGAGGCTTTCTTGCCATGTTGGTTTGGCTGGTGACAGGTGACAGCGGCTATCGTGACGTGCGGTGGACTCTGCCCGGGACTCAACGACGTGGTCCAGGTGGGCGACATCCCGAGGGGGGGAGTGCGTGAGTGAGGTATCATGTGCAATGAAGCAGAGCGTGGGGAGAAGGGAGGGGTGGGGACGCGGGTGTGAGAGGAGTGAACACAGCAGGTCGGGGGAATGCGGGTGGGAGATATGGGCTAAGGCAAGGACAAGGCAGGACAGGCAAAAGTTATGGCGGGAAGTGAAGGTGCTTAAGAAGAACAACATATAAAGCAGGCCGGGTGGCGCGATAAGTGGGGTGTGTGGTTGGAAGTTAAGGGCGCCAGGCGACCGGACTGGGGATCAGGGCCATGGGAGCTGAGGTGGGGCCAGGGGGTCAGGTGCGGAGGTGTTCGTGCCTGTGTGTGTACAGGTATGTCAATTTGATTTTAGGCGGGTTCAGGATAGGATGGAACACGAATATGTTTAATTAAACCAAGCAGTCCAGCCAGTTGGTAGGTGATAAGCGTATGTGTCTGTGGCCTTCCACGCCCGCCTCTTCAGGGTCTCGTGAACAAGCTGACAGACTACGGCGTACCGGAGGGGAAGATCCTGGGCATTAAGTACGGCTTCAGGTAGGGCATCCTAAGCGTGCATGTGCGCGTGTACGTATGTCTGTGCATGCCACGGGCGAATGCCACGGGCGGAAACGCATATTTCCCTCAATGCATCGGCAGCTCTGCGTCCAGCAGCAAGGCCGCCATCCAGTCATCCAGTCCATCCACCACCTCGCACATGGCAGCCTGCTGTATACACCACATATCAGTGTCCGGGCAGTGTTTCAAAGTTGCCAAATCGCACCCCTCTCTCGCCCTTTTCCTCCTCTTCCTCCTCCGTCCCCCAGTCCTGCTCCTTTCGCAGGAGGTAGGAGCTCCCGCGACCCGCGGGCGGGGTCCGTAAAGATAGATAAATGAACGGCGGGGGTCCCTTCTCTGGTGACTCGTAGGGGGGAGGACCCGCCTTTTCCTGACCTGGGTGCTCTGTTGTCACACGCTCCCTTTGGTCCACTTCCTGACTCTGCACAGGGGCTTCTACGATCCCAGCGTCAAGCCCGTGGTCCTCACCAAGCGTGTCGTGGACGGCATCCAGCTCCAGGGTGGGACTATCCTGGGCACCAGCCGCGGGGGAGCCAACATCAGGTGAGGGAGAGGGGGACCCGCGCGGGGATGGGCTAGGGTTTGCTAACCGGTGCTGGAAGCATCGAGAAGCACACACCGAGGGCTTTGAGATGGGAGGATAAGAAGGGACCTAGCCAGTTACCTAGTTCCCACTTGTCTCAGAGTTGTCCTTTCTCCAATCATAAAGGGAGCTGTTGTTCTGGTTCTAATTCTGGTGCTGCTGCTGCCGCCGCCGCTGATTTCATTATTGCTGATGTTCCTGAGGCTGCTGCGGTTGCTGCAGCCGCTGCCGACTTTGTTGATGATGCTCCTGAGATTGATGTGTTCCTTCGTCCGTCGTTGCGGCTGTTACAGGGAAATCGTGAAGCGCATTGACATGTGGGGAATCGACATGTTGTTCGTGGTCGGCGGCAACGGCGGCAACGCAGGTGCCAATGCCATCAATGCCATGTGCCGCCAGCACGACGTGCCGTGCACCGTGGTTGGAGTGCCCAAGTCCATTGATAACGACATCCTGCTCATTGACAAGTGCTTCGGTTTTGACACGGCGGTGGAGGAGAGCCAGCGCGCGCTGCTGGCAGCCAAGGTGGGGGTCCCGTCACTCGCCGGTTGACAATTTGTTCCTGGCATGTGATGAAGCCCCCGCTGGCCACGGGAGAACATATAGGCAACGTCAGTGCGACAGGGCACCTTGCCGATGAAAGGGCGCCTTGGCTGCTGCTGCTCCTACACGGGTACTGCTGGCTTTTGATCCGTCTGGTTCCGGTGTTGGTGTGGTGGACGACTAGCGGTGTTGGTGTGCTGCTGTGGGTTTAGGGCTCACTGGACGGCGCCACAACGCTGACTGGCTCCCGGTGCGGCAAGAGCAATTAGCAGCAGTAGCAGCGGTAGCAGCAACAGCTTTTGAAAAGAAGGAGAGAAGACACTGCAGCATCGCCACTCACACGCAATACACCATCCTTGGCCAGGCCAGGCCAGGGCCCAATCTTTTCGTCTCTTCACGCTTCAGCGCCTTCCCTCCCCCCCTCCATCCGTGCTGTGTCGCTTCCCAATGCCGTTGCATCCATTCGCTGTCAGGTGGAGGCCAGCAGTGCACGAAAGGGCATTGGTCTGGTGAAGCTCATGGGCCGCCAGTCGGGGTTCATCGCCATGCAGGTGAGTGGGGTTGAGGCGGGCTTTATCGGTGTGCCGGTATCTCGGTATGTGGGAGGAAATCTCTCACGCGCGCGCGATAAGACATCCATAAGGGTAGTTCTTTTGGATTCGGATTTGTGTGTTTAGATTCATCTTTTTGTTGGCGCACCGGGTGAGATTGTTGATTGATGTTAGGAAATCCACCGCTGATGCGCGACAGGGGTCGTGGTTCGATGAGTTTGAGACGAGGGTAGACGGGAAGCAGCCGTGGTTTCTGCTCGCTAGCTTTTTAACTGCTTGCTGGTTTGCATCCGCTCTGCACTCTGCTGTGACGACGAGTTAGGCATCCATGGCCAGCGGTGTGGTGGACGCCTGCCTCATCCCTGAGTTGAACTTCAAGCTCAATGGGGACCAGGGGCTGCTGCGCTACCTGGAGGGGGTCATCAAGAACAAGGGCCACTGCGTGGTGTGTGTGGCGGAGGGCGCCGGCCAGGTGGGTCCCTGCAGGTGCCGTCTGCCGGTCTGTCTACCTGTCGGTCCGTCTAAACTCTAGCCACGTCTGCCTCTGTCAGTGCTGGATTGACCTTCCTCACACCCCACCTACATGAATCTTCATGGCCGCGCCTCTCCCTCGTCCTCTAGGTACCCAATCGCGCAATCGCCTGCCCAGCTAATCAACGCTGCAAACCCCCCAGATATAAACAACTCAAAAGATTTGAACCGCTCAACTGTCCAACTGCTGCTCCAACCGCTAACTATAAACCGTCCCCAACTGACCCAACCACCACAAACAGGACCTCCTCGAGGATGGCGGGCAGTTGGGCACTGACGCAAGTGGCAACCCCATTCTGAAGGATATCGGCGCCTTCCTTAAGGAGAAGTTCAAGGCCTACTTCAAGGACGCCGATATCAAGTGCGGGCCTCGTGCCTTCGGGGGTTGAGGAACTTGCTCTTTAATGTGATGTGTGAGACAGGGGGTATATCTTCATCCGTGGCCGCTACCTGGCGAAACCCTGCCTTCCCCTTCTTTAGTGTAGCGGTGGTAGCGGTCTTCATGGACATTTGTGGTGGTGTTGGACACAAGTGTGCTGGCGCTGTGGCCGCGGTGCCTGGTGCAGGTACATCGACCCGTCGTACATGATCCGCTCCGTGTCCACAACCACCAACGACCGCATCTACTGCAAGATCTTGGCACACAACGCCGTGCACGCGGCCTTTGCCGGCTTCACGGGTATCACGGTGGGGCTGGTCAACACGCACTACGTGTACCTTCCCATCCCGGTCATCATCCAGGCTCCTAGGAAGGTGCGGATAGGTTTCGAATAGGGGCGGTGGCAATGGTGGTTGTGGTGGAGGCCAGACCTGTCAGTGGGGTCGTGTGTGGTGGTGTCAGGCAGTGGAGTGGGGACGGTGGTAGGATGGTGTCTGAAGTACGATCGGAAAGCCTCCTCACGGAGCACGTGACGGAGTTCCCCGTTCGGAGCAGGCAGCGTGGGAGGGAGGTGCAGCAGCTTCTAGGGTTGGGCCATGATATCACGCACCGGCTACTACGCAACCAGTGTATTGCCGCTGGGGGGTGGGTGGGGCGCCAGGGAGAGCAGGATTGAGGGAATATCCAGATGGAGCCCGCACTCAGGTCTCCTTCTCCGTCCCGCTGAAATCCGTTCCTTCCTTTGTGTGAGATACCCGGCGCGGGTTGCGCACACGCTCTGGGGATCTTTAGGGTCGTCACGCTATATGCTTGGCTTGTATTCTATTACGCAAAAACCTGTGCGGCCCCAAACCCGGCCTCGGTGCGAGCAGGTGGATCCGCGCGGCAAGGCTTGGAACCGCTTGCGTGCCGCCATTGGTCAGCCGAGCTTCACCTAAGCACGGAGCCCTTTGCGTTCCCATGTAATCGCTCAGTCACGTGGTTAGCCACGTGACCGTAGCGACAGCTTGACATGCCGCTTCTGGGCGCTGGCGTCGAAACCGAAGAGAGTGCATGTGGGCGCAGCTGCTGCCCTTACTGGCAGCGAGGACTGCAAAGACGGAAGCCGGGATGCATCGGATGATGTTTACTTGTGCCTCTAGACGGTGTGCCTCTAGGAAAATAGCGAATTCGAGCGAAGAAAGACTTGCATGTTTAAGGGCGGAGGGGAAGGGAAGGGGGAGGGAAGCCGCGATAGGGAAGAAGTCGTTGCAGCGTATGACACGTCTTGCGACGCTGTTGCGGCGGCGATGACCCCGAGGAAAGCACATGGTGGATTTTATCGTCATGCCAGGCGTATTGTGGCGCAGACTGCCGACGTGCCCGTCCACCTGCTGTGCTCTTGCCGTTACTACCGTTGCTCTGGCGCCATTCTCGTCGCCGTTAAGTCGCTGTGGCAAGTGCTTTTGGTGGGGCGTTGTTAAATTTTGTGTGCTTCAGTGCTCATTTGTGTCCCAAGGTATCTGTAATGCCCCCGCAGGCGTGTGTTAAGCTGCAAAACCATCATAGTCATCATTAGTGTCATCGTGGTGTGTGGTGGCTGTAGCAGGGTAGGCAACATCAACGTCAGAAGATCTTTGAAGCGGAGTGCACAGATAGAGATACGGGTCGAGGAGAAAAGCTGAGTTGACAAGGACGGAGCGCTGGCGCTGCGCCGCTGCGTTCGCCATATTGGCGTCTGCATGCAGCTCATTATTACGCCGTATATCCCGCACGCCCTCATGCGCATCCGGACCAGTGCATATCGCGGAATTGGCCTTACTTGGCTGCCGTGTTGTGTTTCATGGACCCGTTTTGGAGGAAGGCGGCGGCTGTGATGCGCCTCTTGCGCCTGCTGTCCGGAACACGCGGGGATGGAAGAGGGGCCTCCTGTGCAGGATCATGTATCGGAGTGGGTTGTGGCACACCGTCGATGAATGTGGGTATGTGGAAGGATTGTGCTTGAGGCACGACAATGAATTGGGGAGTTTGGAATTGGCTTGTCAGTGATGCGGCAGGACGAGAATAATATGTTAGGCACGGAGGGCCGCTGTGGGGGGAACAGCTCTATGACGGAAAGCAGATGTGTTCCAAGGACAAATAGCCTACGTAAATATCGTGTGCGGTGCTTAACCACGATGCCTAAGGATGCAATGGTTCGATTCTTTTCGATCGTTGCAAACTGGCGCGAAGCTGTTCTCTTTTGCAGACGCGTACATGCACACGTTAAACCCGGCAGTCTGTATCAAAAAGCGGCTCGAAGATGTTGCTCTTGCTTCTAACTTTCTAATTTTGTGTAAGCTGCCCACACGCCATAGCGGTGGCATAAACTTTACAAGAAATTAAAAACAATGACGACCCCTAGCCATAGCATCAAGGAACAAGGAACAACATCTCCAGCCCGGCGGCTTGGCGTTACAGACGAACCAGAAACACACAGACTAACGGCTGCTCTTATGGTCGCACCGCTTCCGTGATGCACACCGCCATCCACGTATTTGGCCTCTATAAGCGACACATGCCGGGGAAGAGGGATGTGACCTGAAGGAGGAACCGTCGCAGCGTCTCGCACCGCTTCATTTACATCCTCTCTGGAGAAGAGATGGCCTGGCCAGGGTATCAAAATAAACTCGGCCTTGCAACAGGCCTTAGAAGCTTATGAACATTTCCGGGGTTAAGAGTGTAAAAATGAATAATAAACCAGTTTTGAGGTATTGTGCCCCGTGGTTCTGGAGCCATGCAATTATGAAAGGTGTGTCAACATTTATCCACGGCGGGACCAGCACACACAACTCAGACACACGACCCTTGCCGACCTCCCCGAAGACGTCCGGGTCACGAAACCACCTGTAAGCCCCTCCCCAAGTACCTCCATTGCTTCCGCTCGGCTTCCCATTGTTTCCTTCCTACCAAGACTCCGGATCGGACCTCTCAGCACACACACCCGTTCTACTTCAAGGACTCCTGCTGCCGTTGCACTCTGCCGCAGGACAAGCACTCTCACCCTTAATCTTATACCTCTCCTGCAATTTGCGTCAACTCGCGGAACGCGACTTCCTCTTTATGTACTCGCTCTGCGAGACGATATAGGCAACGTAGACATCCATCATACTGACAAGCCCCCGGCCAACCGCTCCGCCGAAAAGAGAGGTGTGGAGGAAGAAGCCCCCTGGGGGGCTCCTCTTTATCAGCTGCTGACGGTCCCCGCTGCCCCGTTCCGTGGCTCTAGGGCCGTCACTGCTGCTACCAGTTCCCGTACATCCACGCCGTGCTGCTCCGCCGGCACGCCACCATACGAATCTTCCGGCACACGGGTGGCCAGTAGGGGCCCCACAGCCAACCTGGCAACCTCTGGATCTTGGCATCGCGGACCCTGCAGGCCCTGGAAATCGCCACCACCGCCGCCGGGGGACGCAGCAGAGGCTGGTGGCAGCGCTGCGTAGCTGCACTTAGGGGCTATGTCGCCCGCAAATATGGCTGGCCTGGCGGCGGGCTGGTTTGGTATGACATCAGGAGGGGGCCCTTTGCTGGCGGCGGCAGTTGCTATGGCAGCCACGGGCTCCAAAGAGGGGTCATCTGTTTCGGAGAGCTGCGGCGCCAAGTCGTCTATTAATGCGCGCGCGAGCAGGCAGTCACGGCTTGCTTCTGGCGCTTTGCTTGTCAGCTCGATGAGATGTGTGCCGGCTTGAGCATCCTCCGAATGCTTACGCTCTCGTAGCATTTTTGGCTGAGCCCGGCCTGGACCCACGGGCCATTGGCAGCTCTTCCAGATCGAGCGTGAAGCTGTGTAACACAAACGTAGGAGGACTGCACTAACTGACTAAAGGCTGAGGCAGCTGGCATTTGAGGAATGACGAATCCGCGAGTACAGCTGCAGAACCATGCAGGACATCCAACGCTATACGTCACGCATCTGTGCAACCATTTTATATCCGTCTGGAACTATTGCCAAACTGCGGAGTGCTTTATTGCTTCGACGCAAGGTAAGCTCGCCAACCGCTGTAGGAACTGATATCCTCGGCGTCGCGAACTGCATAGGATTCCCCCAAAAAGCCCTTTTCGCTGCTTCCATCATCTAAGACGACATCACCAAGGCAGAGAGGTGGCTTGACACCATCGCGCAGGAACTCCCTGCAGAGGCGTCCAAAACTGTTTGTGTAAAATGAAGGCCCGCTTGTGTCGTGATGCTCACCGCAGCTTACCCGACACGTTCGATGGGAAAAGCCCAGACCTCAACCTCAAAGCTGCGGCCACAGACGCCATCTGCTCCTTGGCGAATCAGAGCCGGGCGTGGCCCCAAGCTGTACATCTTGTAAACTGGGGCCGTTTTGCATGTTTTAACAAGAGTGGCGCCAAGTCCAAGCACCTGATGGTTCAGCGCTAAACCTGACATGTGAGCGCCCGCAAGAACCAAGTTGAGTTTGGCCGCCATTTCTGGAAACGTTGAATTTTGCCACGTTATATATGTTCTTATCTGTGGCTTTTAAGCGTTTGGGGATAAGCTTTGCGATCGGGGAATCAACGCGCAGGACCTTTGCAGGACCTGGTCCCCCAAAGCAAGTTGGACCACTTCGCCTTTGGCTCCAATCTACCAATTTCGACACGATCGGTTTCTGTTCACTCAAGGCCGAGGGCGCAGGCTACAACACGGAGGGCGATCGTGCATTGCCAATGGAAGTCAACGGCATTAACGACCTTGTCGCAGACGGCAGCCCGCCAGATGGCAGCAGTGCGCTGCGCAGGGATGCCGGATCCCCCTTGCGGATTTACACCAAAAATTGTAGACAGTACGTACAGTTCAGGCCCGGCTGAGCCAAACGCGCAGCTGGGTTTAGATAAAGCACGTTGCATTAAAATTCGCTCCGAAATCGACTGGGCGACACAATCGCCCAGAAAGCCACCAAAGCAATCAATACAAAGGCGAGACCCAACATCATCGGCAGCATCGGCGCGACTAGCTTAGCCTCGCCACATCATGTGCGTCCTGGTGCTCCCTTGCACGCCATGGCCGCTCGTCCTCAGCCCCTAGCGGCAGCCCCAAGTGTCGCATGAAAGAAGGGAAAGAAAGGCCACTCACGAGCGGAACAGAGTTCCGGGTTCCAGGTTTCCATCACATCGCCCACACAAAGCCGTCCTATAGTAAAAAGGCACACACAAAGCTCTCCCATGCTTCCCAGCGGCATGCCGCCATCACCGGAGTGTCTAAAGTAGGCATGTTACTGCCTCGTGTACCGACATTATCAAAATCCACACCGGCCCCAGAATGAGTTCTAAAAGCCCAAAAGGTGGATGCGCGAGACCACCAAGGACCGTCCTTGCATACGCTTGGTTTTTTTTTGTATCTGCAGCGAAAACCGCAGAGGGCACGTAAAGAGCCAGCCAGCAACATAAGCACCGGCACCCGTCCACGCTCTGTGGAAGACGCCAGTACGGGATAACCCCCAAGGAACCGAGAAGCAGCCCCAAACAGCCTTACTTGCGAGAAGGTACGCAATTAAACAAAATGGCGCAGAGCACTCAGGATGAAGAGAGGGACTTCGTTTTCAGCCAAACACACCTGGCGTGTAAAGATATATGTTCCCTTGAATAGAACACGTGTGAATTCGCGAATATACGCACAATCCACTTTTTGTGTTGCGTGTGAATACGCTTATCCATTCGCACAATCCACTTTTGTTTGTCGGCGGTATTATCTCATTCGTCGATGCACGGCTGTTCAAACATGTCCCACTGCCGCCTTCCGTTGTGGCGGCGCCACAGAGGCTCCCTGTTTGAGGCGTCCGTCAGGACGTTACGCTAAAATATACCCGTAACGTCGTAGAAGACGCACGAGATCCTGCAAAGAAGACAAGCAACCACGTATAAACCATCGCCGCCACCACCAGCACAGCTGCTAATGCCCTCCCCAAGCACCAAGCAACCGGCTGAGGCTGCGGCATTAATCAGCCCCAACCAACGCCCTTGCCAATCGTTCACTCGCCCAATCCTTCACGGCAACAGAGCAACACCACCCAACCACATCAACGCCCCAAGCCCAAATCTGCGCAGCTGGCCCAAGTCCAAACAAAAAATGCAGGCACCTTATTAACGCCGACCAAGGAAATGATTGAAAAGGAAGGACAGGAGTTAAGCGCCCCTTGGAGTGGTTCCTCAATGACAGGAGCTGTCATGGCATCGAAATGTTGCCCACCAGCTCCTTCGCATTTGGTAGTCACAAACCATAACCATGATGCAAAACCGTTCTGCAATGCGACAAAAGAAGACATATCGTAGAAAATGGAACTCGCCGAACCCGCGACAACCGAAAGACAGCCCTCTTTTCTCTCGGGACACCATGCCGCCACCTAACCTGCCGGGCCTCAAACGGCACAGCGCCCACTCAGCACCGTCGTTCAGCTGATTCCAGCTAGCGGCGGTGCCCTGCTAGCAGCGCAGCAATACATTCTTTAAGATAGCATGGCAATGAGGCCAATCGCTTGATGGACCGCCTGCTTGGCCTTGGCTGCAGTGGCACCCGTGCCGCCACGTGCGATGACCGCCAGCGCTGCCTTCACATTGTCCAAAACACCCCTGCAATGACACGTCGAACGCACACGCGGAGGGAGAACACCAGCCACTGGTAAGGTGCTCTTGGGAAGTGGGGTAAGCACCCGCGCCGTCGGTTCGAGCCTAAAATTCCATTTTCCCGCGGCGCAATTAATGCTATAAAGGCAGGCGTCGTGGTCCATGTGCATAGCCACAACCTCACCGGAGGGGAATGCGAGAGCAGCGGCAGGTGGAGAAGCCAATAAAATTGGATGCACATGCTAAGTGGTCGCTCAGATGGGTAGATAGATAGCTGGAGAATAGACGCGGGTAAACCGACCCCACAACTTCAATCCGCACGGACCTGATGTGCGGTGCAAGTCCAGGCTCCTTTACGTCCAGCCTCTTCAGAATGGCGTCAATCCAACCCAGCTTATGGTCCACGTCAGCCGTCAGGTCGTACGAGAGAAACGTCAACAGCGACAGCAACGTCGCCTGGCCCAGCGGACATGGCTCGGCCGCCAGAACCGCTGCACCGCCGGCCTCCGAACATGCCCACAGCACCAGTGACAGGTCCTGGCGCTCCAAAACTCGGGACAGGGCGCCGTCGAGGTCGCCGATACGAATCAGATCTGGGTGGGTTGAACCGGGAAGGAGAGACTTAAGAGAACGTATGATAACATGTACTAAAAACAGCTCTCCTGTTGTGTAAGAGGCATTGAACCGGGCTGTTGGAGCCTGGAGGGAGGAGCGATTTGGTAGTGTTGGGGAGAACGGAGGGAAAGCATGTGCTTAGTGAAGAGGCTATGGGACTGATGAGACGCAAGCGTGGCGAGCTGAGCAGAGGTAAGTGATGACGGGTAAAGGTGATCGCGAGAGGATCAGCAGGGATGCCGGTGCAGGGAAGTCAGCCGCTCGCGACTTTCTTAAGCAGCTGGCCGAAAGGAAGCACTCGCAGTCACAGCTTTGGGTGGCTTTAAAGTAAATGATGGATTAATTGTAAGGATTGGCCTTCGCAAAGGGCGCCTAACGATCCGCGGGGGATTCGCAGCGGCGGCGATCCGCACCTTGAACAAGGCCCTTAGTTGTCGCGTCTACGGTGATAGGAGGCGGTGGTGGGCCCGCCGCCAGCGGAGCCACAGAAGGAGGTTTCTGCACGACTGAGGCTGGGACAGCAGCGGGTGCAGTCTCCGCACGCGAAGCCGGTGGTTTCGCTGCTGTGACATGCGTTGCGGCGGGCTGAGCCCGCTGGGCTGCAGGTGCCGCCCTCGCGCTTGCCACGGCCGCCGCCGCGGCCGCAGCAGAGGTCTCCGACCCGCCCGCCGGCCTGGACTGCCCGGTTGCGGGAGCCGCCGCAACTGGTAGGGGCGGCTGGGATGCCGCCGCCTTGGCAGTGCCCTTTGCGGCCCCGCCAGTGCTAGCAACCGATACCGACGCCACTGGCGGCGCTGCCGCAGCCGTAGGAGGCGATGGAACTGCTACCGCTGCGGCAGCTGCGGCCTTCGCCACCGCTGCAGTGGCCTGCTGAGCCGCCGCCGCCTCGCTCTTCAGGGACTTGGCGGCCGCCTGCACCTGCGACGCGGCGTCTCGCAGCTGGGCCCCCAGGCTACCCAACGGGCCCAGTGGGGCCAGGTGCGTTTCCAGCCCAGCCCGCAGGGCTGCCTCCATCTGACCGAACATGGTGGAGGTCGCACGCTCCAACGGTGGCACTACCTGTGCATATGGGGGGAAAGGCAAGACGGATAACCCGAGTGAGATGATGGCTTGTTGGAGACCGAGACCCTCCTTCGCATCCAATCCTGCGCCTAGGATTTAAATGCAAGTGGCCGCAGGTACCAGTAGTCGCACACAGCGACATTATGCTGAGGAACTGAATACATCCATCCAAGGTATATTCAGGATGTACGACATGTGCCAAGCGATGAAAGCACGAAAATGTCTCACAGCATAGGACAAACTAAGGCGGTGTACTACGTTGTTATGGGAATAAGCAGTTCTTGATGTAGCTGCGATGGCGGCTCGTGGAGGAGAAAAGAGAACAATTTCCAGCGTGGGGGCGAAGTGGCTGACATCACTACCTTAGCGTAGCGATAGGGCAGTGGCATCAGAGAAACGGGACTCCTTATTGCGCAAAAATGCACGGTATTCCAGGCTCCCACACACACACCTGCGCCGTGAAGGCGGACCCCAGGCCATCAGCCACGGCCCGAGGCAACGAGGCCGTTAGTTGTGATCCGAGCGCCCGCTCCAGGGCAGCGGCAGTGCCTCCTGCGGATAGCGCGGCGGGCAGCGCTTCCGCCACCGCAGCCCGTACGGAAGGTCCAATGACGGCCTTGATGGCGGCCGTGGTAGCGGCGGCTGCGTCGGCGACGCGCTGGGACAGGTCCTTGGCCGCGTGGTTGATGGCCTGGTAGTGGCGGCAGCGACAGCGGCAGCGGCGATGTGGGCGAGTGGGCTGGGTATGCAACCATGTACAACAGGACCTGATGCCCGTATGTAACAAGGATCGTTAGGAAAATGCATGAGTGTGTTCCAGTGCGAAACAGGAATAAGGTTGCGTGACAACTAGGGTAAAGAAGGATAAGCGAGTGAGCTGATCTTGCTGCAGGAGCAGACGCTCAACCCCTTACCCTAAAAACTCGACAACTCTACCCCCCCCCAGTGCGCCATCTAACTACAACGTCGTTTCGGCCGAAGACTTCAGATTCTATGGCACCGCCTGGCTCTGCCAGCTCCTTCCTGCCACCGGCTTCAAAAGGCGGGAAATGTGCATCACAGCACATCTTCAATCCCAGACGTTCACGCTGGGACCGGACCTCTCCGGGCCCTGCAATACTTCTCCCCCCCCGCCTGACCCGCACCGCAAGAGCCGACCAGATCAAACCCGAGCGGAGCCGGTATGACATCTTCGCGAGCAGATCATCCCCACAAGCAGGTCAGCCCAGCTCACTCCACCGGACCCCTTACCCCCGTCAGCGCCTTCTGTAGCTCCGACATCTCCTTGCGGCGCTCATCAGCAGCCTTCCGCGCTACAGCCTCCGCCGCCCGAGCTGCCGCCGCGTCTGCCGTGGCCTTGCTGCTGCGCTGCGCCTCCGTGCGCACGACCTTGAGCAGCTCCCGCTGACCGCTTGATACCTGCGCGTATTGCGGTGTGACGCGGTTCAATGTGTTATGTTGTGCTGTGGTGCAGTGTGTAGGTATATGCAGATTGTGGGTTTCAAACAGGCCTTTTGCAGGCGATGGCGTTGCGGGTGGCATGGGCGGGACCGAGTTTGTCGCTAAGAACCGTTCGCAGTGGCAGTGGAAATGGGTTCAGCTCACCGCGACTGGCAGGAAAGCAAGAGACACGGGCCATTGCGAGGTAGCGGCCCCCCAAAGAACGGTCCAGTCCTAAAATATCGTAGACACGAAGATATTAACAGAAAAAGAAAACGGACCCAGGAGGGCTCCAGAGTATGATCCCGAAGGGAAGGAAGCAAAACCAAGGGCTTAAATTTTTCAGTTCCCAGTCCCCTCGTAGGCCCCCAAAGGCATTAAGCATTAGGCCCTAATGTCGAGGCGGACAGCGCCCTCCTTGCACAGCTAGGCTAGAAAGTCCACCTGTTCAAGAAGCTGTTGCTGCAGTGCCAGCAGCTGCGCCAGGGCCTGTTGCTGCTGCTGCTGGAGGACCTGAAAGTCATGGGAGGCAAATGCGGAAGTCGGGGTCTTGGACATGGAGGCTTCAGCCGCCACTGATGGCGTCGGCTGCGGCTGCGTTGCCAAGACGCCATGCTCCTGTTCCTCGCCGTTCGCGACGGCAGGTGGCGGCGGGGCAGGTGCCGGAGCCGTCGGGGTGACTGCAGGTGATACGCCGGCGGGTGATCTAGACGCGGGCGGCGGCGCTGCTGACTGCGACCGTTGGGCCATTGAGCCGTGGTGCAGTGGCGCGGGGCTGCTCTTGCCCTGCAGCAGGGGTGAGCAGAAGCTTTTTAAAAACTCAAATGCGCTTGGAAAGCGGCGATAGCATACATTTGAAGCTTTGCAAAGGTGAAGCCATTTTATATCTGTCTTTGCTTATTGAATATCTATAGGTTTGTAGCAAGGTATCAATTTACTGAATATGCTAGCATGGGCATTATCGATCATTAAATTCGCATGACCCGTTCCAGCGGTGGAGCTACCGCATTAATCAGGCACCTACCAACAAATCCTACCTACCGCAATACATGGACACCGCAGCGCAGTGCATAGCATGTGAACAGAGGTGGCACCAGGAGGGAAATGAACGAGCAGCTGGAAATAGAAGGCGGATGTGGGAAACGAGGTGCCATTTGCCACCAAACAAACCGGCCAACAAGCCGACACACCCACCTGGGAGATCCACCGTACAAGCTCTTCTGAAGGTTGTGGCGGCAAACTAGGCGGGGACTGCTGTGCTGACGGCGCCGCAGCCGCTATGACCACGTCTGCCACCTCCAAGGTCAAGCGCGCTGCCTTGGGTTCAACCTCTGCGGCCGCCGCAGAGTCCGCTGCTGCGGCTGTCGTCGCCAGGTTCGCGTCGGAAGCGCTCGGCGTCATTACGATCGACATCGTCGCGAGCGAATGGGAGCGGCTTGAGCCCATTGTCGAGGCCGTGGTGTCGACATCAACGCCCGCCGACGCTGCGCCCCCGTGCGACTCGTCATGCTGTGCAGGTAAGACGGCCGGAGCCGAGGTGCTAGCGATAGAGCTTGCACCAGATCGTGCTGCAGCCGCGGCCGCCAGGGCGGCAGCGGCGGACTGCATCAGTTGGCTTGGAGTTAACAGGAGTGTCGACCTGATGGCAGCGAGCGGTGGAGCGGCTTCCAATGCGGCTTTACTTTGGCCGAGCACATCCGCATCCTGCGCCTCCGCTGCTGCGGCTTCCGCTGCCACGGCCGCATCCAAGGACTTCGCGCTTGCCGCATCTGCATCCGTCGTTAACTCTAGCGACGCCGCCAGCCCTTCCCCAGCGTTACATTGTTCCAGTGCTGACGGTGCGGCCTCTTTGGCGGCAGCGACGTCGCCAACAGCGGTGCCCGCTCCCTCCCCTCCGGCCGCCTCGTCAACAGTCCCAGCCACAGCGCCAAGCAACGGGCTCGTCGCATCGGAAACGTCGGATGGCATTGCAACCAAAGTGCTGAATGGCTGTGGAGGCTGTGGCACGGCGGCATGCACCGAGCCGGCCGACGGCTCCCTCTCTCTCTCCTGCTGCTGCTGCCGCTGCTGCAACGCCATTAGGGCGGCGAGTGGGTCTTTCGACAAACGCGCCGCGGAGGCTGCTTCAGTTGCCGCCGATGCCGTACTGCCGCCGAGGCTTGTTGCGGCATGGAGGTGATGGATGAACTGTCCTGCTGTGCCGCTGCCGACCACCAACGCGGCGCCAGGTGCGGTTGCTTGCGGCCGCGGCTGCATGGGGAAGCATTGCGCGGGAACCAGCGTGTACTGCTGCACGGAGTCGCTCTGAATGGTGTACATGTGGAAAGCCTCTGCGCCGGTTGCTTCATCCTCAAATGCCTGTGGCTCCAGAGTGCAGGACAGGATGGGCATTTTGACGCTGAACTCCGAAACGTAGTCAAACGTTGGCGATTCGGGCTGCGATGTCAGGTCCACATGGAGCACGTACACATGGTTTCGGAGCTCGTTGGCCAGTACAACACAGTCATACAACGGCTGCAACTCAAGATGGTTGAAGAAGGCCGCCGCGGACGTTACAGCACCGGGGCCAGTACCGGTGACGGCGCTCGCCAGGCGAATCGCGTGCGTGCACTGCGGCTTTGAGGACAAGTCAATCGTCCAAAGGCGCAGGTGCGCATTCAAGCCATCGCCGGTCAGTAGCACATGGGGTGCGGCCACGCCAACGCCCTCCCCTCCGCCACTCATGCTTTCCATTCCTCCACTCCCACCGCGCGGCAGCCAACTCAGCGACACAACGGCTGCCGAGTCGCCGGTACCGTCTCCGTACGGTGCCTCTCCTGGCGCACTGCCATACGCCTGAAACCGGATGTCCGGCTCCGGAGTCAGAGGTTGTATTAGCGCAGGATCGAGCTGCTCCGAAGTCAGGGCCCAGACGTATACAAAACCGTGAGCGTCTCCGGCCGACAGCATGTCACCCGATGGCGAAAACGCCACCGACGTCATGACGGCGCCGTCAGCGCTGCGCGCCGCCGCCACCGGCGCAGAGTACTCCGGGGCCGCCGCCACGTCCGCCGTGGGCGGCACATTGATCAGGTGCACAGTGGGACCCGCCGCGACGGCGAGCACAAAGTCATAGGTTGGGTGCCAGGCGAGGCGCGCAGGCGGGTGGGCTGACGGGCCTGACGTCGGAATGGGTAGCTCGTGACGTGCCAGGATTTCATCTCGTACTGTGTCCTCACCGTCGGCATCCTCCTCATACACTTTCCGCACGTGCACCTGAGAAATGCGAGGGGAAACACATGCAGTTGTGTAAACACGATCAACTACTGATGGCGAGAGCTGCAGCGGTAGTGTTGAGACAGGGTGTGCCTTGCGCGTGCGTTTGCGCAAAAGCACGAAGAGCAACTGAGGCGTTACGACAACCCAAGCGGCACTGCTTTGCCGCAGGCGCTATTAGCCACTGCAAGAGTACAGGTATAGAGTACAGGGTATAGGGGAGGGTACCCGGGCCGGTTGCTGCTTGCACAAAACGGTGTAGCATTCTCGCTGTGTGGGCAATAGTAACGGTTCCAGCAGGGCCACAGGACACTTCTGCGATGTGTCGCGCCTACTACATTCACTGGATCTAATCACCTTTGGGAAGCTCGCAGGTTCCTTTCTACTCAAATGGACATCACCGAAATGGACAGCACCACATGCACACGTAGTACCAGAGCGCACACGCTTTCTTCATCACTTGATGCATTTGATTACGTATTCGCAGACTATCCACCTTGCAGTCTTTCCCGCGCGTAGCGCCGTTCCCTTGCTTTACAAGGTACATTTGGGAACAGGACCCATACGCATGCGCCCACACACGCGCACACGTGATATTAGGAGGCCCACCTGACCCGTCGTATCTACAGATGCAAGCAAACAGCGCTCGGAGTCATGTCGGAAGAAGCGCAGATCGGTGACAGGCGCGGCATGGTCCTTCAGCAGCGTTCGAGCGCCGGTGTGTCGATTGAGGATGCGAATCTGCCCACCCTTGAGCCCATAGCAAATGTAGTTCGCGTCCACGGCCACGGAATTGCCATGGCGGCGGCAAATCTCCGAGGGATAATTGGCAATCTTGGACACCTGCGGCCAGCCGACGGGCAGGCGTGCTGGCGGGTGAGCGGCCCCGAGATGCCATCGGTGGGTCCCGCGCGCCCATTGTCGACGACCCATGTTTCTGCCAACGGGGCCCCTAAGCTCCATCTGGGTCATCGACTAATTGCCCAGGACCTCAAGCCATGTTCCTTGGTGTAATAGGCAAACCTATCAATTCGCCCGGCACATCAATGTTAGCGCATACAAGCGCGTTATGCTGGTTGCCGTACCCAGGACCCTCACGAACGCTCTGGCGTTGACTAAGGGACCGGGTGGGGAGTCGGAGTCTGTGGCTGCATGGGCGCCGTCGTGACCGAATGCGTCCAGAGGAGGTCAAGAATCCTGTCCATAGGCGGATAGGGCCGGCAAGCTAAACCATTCCAGGCATCCACCAGCGGGAAGAAGCCGAGCTGCAAAATAATTGCCCCCATTCCTCCCAAGCAGTGGCCAAGCCCGGTTTTCTAACGCTGTAACCCACCACGAGCGCAGACGCAGACTCAGGTTTAATTCGGTCGACCTCCACAACTTCATGGAGAGGAGATATGGGGGTACCGTGAGGCTGAGGGTGTTTCTTCTCAGGCAACCCCCCAGATGAGAGCGCGGCTGCAAGTGCGGCTGCCGCCTGACTGTGGGGGGCTGCAATGCGCCCAGGGGCGGCCGTAACCGGAGCTGCGCTTGGCGCCTGACCTGCTGGAGCCACTGCCTGGGCGGGCTGCGCGCCTACGTCCGCTGACGGGACCTGTTGAGGGAAAGACTCCATAGCGTTATCACAGAGCAAGAAGATATCAGTTAGCCCACTCCGAGAAACACGCAGGCCCCCAAAAACGCGTCAATAGAAATGCCAGTCCAAGATCTGGACTCATCACAAGGTGAATCTCACCGCGTGCGCCCCTGCCTGTTTCAGCCATCCCATAAGTTCAAATCCTGGGGCCATTGGTCAGCGGGGGCCTGCTCGGCCCCTCGTTAGCTGCAAGCTAGCACTAGTTCCTTGACTGGAACGCTTGAGTTTAAAAAAATAAACAGATAAACCTCCTCACTTACGAGTTAATAATATACAAGGTCTTCGTGCAAGCCAATTAGTTTTCCTTGTCGCTTTCGTACGGCCGTAACGAAGTGTGTTTTCATCCTCTTGTGCTTTAGCCAGCATGATTTTAATTATACTTTAGAACTGTTACCATCTACTAGCTGGCACTCCAGCTGTAAACCCTGGCTCGTCTGCTTAATTCGTGCTCTACCCCCGCCAAAATGTATCCAGGGTCCGTCCCAAGCGGAATAGTTCGCGATCAGGAATATGCTCCTCTGCTCTTTTCAGTTCAGCCGCTTGATCAAGCGACTCCGCGTGCGGCGACGCCGCTGCGAGCTGACAGCAGTTTAAGTACGCAGCGGCGGTCGCTAACACAGACGCCAGGCTCCATGGCGACTGACGCCACGCCGCCTCCGCCACCGCCAATCCTTCGACTTGCAGAGGATGTCGTCATGGGTAGGACCTGGATTCAGAGTGCAGGCTTTTTCTTGTGTCAGTTGTGGCTAGGGTGTGGCTCAGGCACACGGAAAGGTGGACCACCGGCATGCACGTGAGGGGGATACACTAAAGTGTGCACACCAGGCGTGCGTCTGCAGGGCTGCCGTTAATTATCCTAGCAGGCACATAACAATTCGGGCAATCCATCCTTGTCTGCCGTATTTCTTACTTGGTAGAAGTCTCGGTCAATAGTGGTGAACTTCTTCCTGTGCCATATACCCCAACCCTTCCTCACAGACGACCCTGGTAGCATAGACAGGGGTGTCACGCCTCCAGGCCGACAAACACCACAGCAGCCGCCCATTTCCGTGACGACCACGCCTCCACCGGTGCAACCGCCCACGGCCGGAGTCCTGACCTTCGAGCAGCAGCAACCGGCATACGACGACGTCTGGGTGACTGTGTTTGGGTTCACGCAGCAAGACGTGCCGCTGGTGCTGCGTGAGCTTCATAACTGCGGCGACATTATCAGTTGGGGCTTCGGCGAGCGCGAAGCCAATTTCATTCACGTGCAGTACCAGAACAAGTACGGCGCGCAGCGGGCTTTGATTCGAAACGGAGAACAGCTTACCAGCTCGCTCATCATTGGCGTGAAGCCCTTGGACCCCAGGCACCGGCAGCAGGTCGCATCACTCCAGGAAGGGCCTGACGGACCCGCGCAGGCGTACCGACCAAAGCTGGTCCCGGAGCGGCCGTACCGAGTGGAGATGGTGACGGGACAGCGAATACCGCAGCAAAACCGGTCCGTGCTTACTCGCATGTACGAGTTCGTGCTGGGAGTTTGATGGCGGTGATGTGATATGAGGGTTAACTCAATGCCGGTAACATTATGGGTTTGTCTGGAGGAGCAACACGTGCTGAATGCTGCACGTAAAGGACATAGTCGACGCAACGCGTGGCAACGGTGTCTGGTGTTGGTTGCGTATCGGTTGATTGGCCGTGACGCCGTACTTAAGGCTCCAACCGACTGCCAGTCTCGCCCACCTGTCCGGACCTGTGCATGACACGCATTGTGTCGTGACATTGTCACAGTCTGTGCGTGTGTATCTTAGAAATTGCGCCGCGAGCAGAAGCATAAGCGAATGACTGGGAAGGCGGAGCAGGGGTGTGTGTTACGCCATCATGTCTGGACCTACTACTACTGGACCTGACGCTAGCGAAGGGCGGATGCCATGCCCTACCTCCACCAAAGCACTACCTGTGTGTGCATCTGCCGGATGGGGTGTACATAGGTCATAGGCCAGAGATGAAGAGCAATCCCCGCAGCAGCGGATTTTGTTTGCACAGCACGGTTAGGTCGTGGAAAGGCACAAGAAGGGGAGGTTGGGTACAGTGGATTAGCCGACCTAGTTGCCCGGGAAGGTCTGGGTAGAACTTTCAGGAAGTAGCTGAATTAAGGCGCTTGGCCAAGTACGGCAAGGCCGCAATGGAAGGGAGCCAGGAGGCGCTGGGCAGACGCTCTGCATAGACGCGAGGTTCCTGCAGCGATGTGCGTGCAGTAGGCATTATCCTTGCCGGACCGTCGTTTTTGCCGAGTTACAAAGGAGACACGTCTGATTGTTATCTTATTAGCAACCATGACCGCAACAAACAACGAGGAGCGAATGACGTTGTTTCTTACAAGCCGGCTCATTTGCGTAGCTAGCAACTCGGCCCAAGCCGGTATATGGGAGAACCGCTCATTTCGACAGGCCAAGAAACACCACAAGCCGCAGCTTCTTAATCAGTCCCAGGATGCGGGGACTGGCCCTTACCTTCACCCCAGACACCACCATCTGTACACAACCATGCACTTCAAGAGCAAAAGCATAGATCACAGCCAAGGCATCGCAACAAGGACAGAGCATGAGATTTGCGCGCCCCATTGGTACGAGGCGCCCAAAGTTAGAGTTGTTTAAAGTGACGATGAACCAACATAAAAGAGAGATGGCCACGCTGCTAAGCAAGTGGAATTCACTAGAGCTTAACCGTTATTAAATTCGATGGGGATCCATTGGCATGCCCTAGTAGCGCAGCATTCCAGTTCCATCATAACACAAAACCCAAGTTGTCCTGCAAAGCCCAAGTAACTTTTTCCCTGCCTTCCCCCAGCGAAGCGTTCTACGTAGCCTCGATTGTCCTTCCAAATCCATGCCCGCCAAAGTCCATGCTCGCACAGGTCGTGTACAAACCCCATGGCCCACGCAAATTACCGCGTGTCATCTTCAGGTTCTGTGCGCAGACAATTTTTTAAGCACACTGATACACCACCTGGCGCGTGCCAACAGTTAAGACATGTTCTGCGTGACTAGCGGCCCCGTGCGGTATCCTTATGCACCGCTGCCCATCCCCTTCATCTCTCTAGGCATGCCATGGAGCCGTGCCGTCCCTGTGGCAGTTTCGCAATTCAAGTACCGCTGAGCCAAGCCGCAAGCTGCCAGACCCTGTCCCAGCTGCACAGCCTGCGCTGCGGCGCCGGCCTCTTGCCAACTACTTGAGCCACGTTTGTCACCGCGTCACTGCTACTGTGGCTGTCGCCACTACGAGCCGCAGCCGTAACATCGCTGTCTTGATGCGGCTGCCATCCTTTATATGCAACCCAGATCCGCTGCCGTTGCTAATGACAATGACACCAGACGCCCCTTGAACCGGTGCCTCTGCAGCCAGACCGCAACATCTAGCCATGCCAACTGCTGCGGCTGCCGAGCGATGCTGCAGAGCTAAAGCCCAATAACTTTCCATGTACGGATCGTGTTGTCCGCGCTGGCCGATGCCATGATCGACTGGTCGGGAGCGATTGCCACGGCTAGCACCTCGTCCGAGTGGCTTGACTTGCCAAAGGAGTCCGGCTGGATGGTGTGGAAGCAGGAGCCCGTGCTGATGCGCCATAGCTTGATTGTCTTGTCTACAGCCAAGCAAACAATTAGACCACCAATCAGGTATCGCAGCCGAGATCGGTGTAAGGGCGGTAATCTAGCTTTCTTGCGCAGGTCGACACCGGACCGTAGTGGTCGTCAGAGACCCCAACGTGTGGAGAGAACGGTGTGCCCCTCACTAAATCATAACCCAAACGCTTTTAAATTAATTTTCAGAGTTTCATCCTAACGCGCGTGGGTGTGGCTCACCCGGTGCCATCTAAGAGAGCCCACCCGGGGTTTGAACATGCTCGCCGCAGCACCGCGTGCTCGCTTACCTTCACCCCCGCTGAAGAACGTGTCTCCGTCGGGTGCTGTACATACGCAGTGCACCTTGCCCTGGTGGCCCGTGAACGTGTGCAGCACCTCCCCGGTCTCCACATCCCAGCACTACAAGTGGAAGCAAAACGAAGAAATCGTTTACACACGCGAGGCGCTTTAGAGGAAGTGTACTGCAGGCCGATCCAAGGCTGTTTCAGGGCTGTATACAGGCAAACCAATCAGCCACAGCATCGCTAGGAAACTTGACTATAATGACGAATGAATGCCATCTCTGGGCTCTTCCCTGGAGCCTGGATCGTGTTAAGGAGTGGAAAGCGCTGTCGCACAGCAGTGGAGATCCACCTGGCCATGACTTACCTTGATGGTTTCGTCCCACCCAGCGCTCAGAAGCTTTTTCCCGTCGGGTGTGAATGCGACGCCGACGACGTGGCTGGTATGCCCTATGAGCGTGTCCTTCAGTTCTCCCGTCGCCAACTCCCACACCTAACATTTTCAAGATGCGCCGCGAGCAACCGCATTATTTTAGGGCCACGAAATTTTTAAGGTTCGTTGCGCCAAGTCATTCTTGGTTGTGAAATGCCCAGTAGACACGAACCAAGGTCAAAAATGCCAGAAAAACAAAACGCATTGATGAGGTTCCAGACCAGCAAGGACAGAATGATGGAAGCTGCGGAAATTAGAAGTGCCCAGGCTTCGCCGACTTTGTCACTCCGGTTTCGGCCAGCTGTCACGGTCGCCAATGCCTGCCTTGGAATGAAACCCCCGGCGATCTGCCCTGGCATCTTGGTTTGAAGAGTCCTCCCACGCACCTTGACTGTCTTGTCGGCGGACGCAGTGGCTATTAATTTGCCGTCCGGGCTCAGTACGACGCTGTAGACAGTGCTTGTGTGCGCCTTAACAGTCTTCTGCAAGTTGCCCTTCATAATCTCCCAGACCCGTATCGTCTCGTCATGACTGCATGTGATAATCTTCTGGCTGTCCTTGGACACACATACGCCGTACACTGGAGCCGCGTGACCTGAGCAAGGGATCCCAAGGGGTAACTAAAATTCCAGCATCCAAGCGCTCGATTTCTGCGCTGGTAAGCTCAGCGCCCGCGTCACCCACCATCACGCAGCCCGCACCGTTGTGCTACATAATAAATTATCTTAAGCAGCATACCTTCGAGGGTCATCCGAAGGATGCCTCTGAGCAGGTCCCACTCAATGATAGTCCTGCGGAATGGGAAAGACCCAATCACGTCCTGTAGCAGCGGGGCTGACACGCTGTTGGTGCGAACTCTATAAGCGGTACCTAATTTGGTACCGCAACGCAACAATATGGTATAAGTTTGTTTACCTGTCTTTTGAAACGCTGAACAAGATGGTGCCCGAGCCGATGAAGTTGAGAGCGTGCACCTTTGCGTTATGCCCAGTAAAAATGGTTCGCAAGTTTCCCGACTGCACGTCCCACATGCGAACAGTGTTGTCATCGCTACCAGAAGCTAAAAGAAATGAGTCCGGCGAGAAGCACAAGCTGGTTACGGCGTCCGCGTGGCCCTTCAATGTGTGCTTCTTCTCAACCTGTATAGATAATTGAGAAATGCATGGCCCATGGATGATCGCAGAAAGCCATAAGTGCCCATGCGCGGGGCATTCCCAATACGTTCCGCAGAACGGAACCTGGTGTACAGGCCTCTCGGCAGAGTTTTTAACGTCTCCCAAAGAAGTGCATCTCACCCGCACAATTTTAGGAATGTGCTGCGGCAGCGGCTCCTTGGGCATTTGCAGCCCTAAAGTCGCCCCACGAGACGCCCTTAAGGCCCCGTTGCCGGTCATTGACACTTCACTGGGCGCTACCTCGGCGGACATTTCCATTAGTTGGTGACCTAGAAGTAACACGTTTGCCGTTTACAAGGCCCTAAGAGGCCAGCACACCAGGGCAGGCCATACAACAAGTTGCTCAAACTAAAGTCCTTCGAATTTACAGCACGGCAGGCCAGGTTAGCGGTAAAGCAAGTCACCTATGCGGTCATGTAAACACGAGGAGCGTGGAAGTCTAACCCAAAGGGCAAACGACGAGTGGAGCAGACTGTACGGCGCTGCGACCGTACCGCGCAAATGTGTCACCGCACGGAAGGTGCCTAAGATACGGTTGATGCACCACACGCACAAGAAGAAACCCATCAGCGGGGGCTTTCTATCAGATCTAGGTTATGCCTACCTAGACGATAAGCAGCGACATTTCCATGCCAGCGGCGCTACTCCTGGCCTATGCAAGTGAGCCGTTCAGCAGCATATATATATTGGAAAACTATTGATATAATGGCATTAGCGACATAGTTTCAGGGGTCCTGTTCATGAAGGTAGTCGAAAAGAGCCCAGGCTTGCTGGACAAGGGGTGTAGAACGCACCAGCCGCTGATAATCTGTGGGGGGCTTGCAGAACCTGGGAACATACGGAGGAGCAATCTGTGTATTCCATCGGCGAAAACGAGCTTTTGATTATCCCGGCTGAGAGCAAGTTAACCGGGGTAATGCTGCTAAAGGGATGGGGCGAAAGAGGGTTTTAACAACAGCACCTCATAGGAGGAAGGAGTGGAAGGCTAAGCAAGCAAGGAAACAACGTTGAGTAAGAGCCTTTGGTGACCCCGGTTTTGCAGGTAAGGAAGCTGCGCACCGATCAGCTATCCCGCTCTAAATGATGGGCAACTTGATGCAGCCACTTTCGAACCAGAACATAGTTGCAGTCTAAATTACTTGTCAAGATTCAGCAACTAGTGTAACCCCTGGTTGGGACTTATGAGGACTTCCCGACAGAACTGGCTAAATAGGTGATTACCGTTTTTAAGGCCAGGAAGAGCTCCAGCCCCTGAATGCAACGGCTTCTAACAGGCAGTTACCGAGCCACTTCACAGATAGGCAGCAATAGCCTGACGTGGCCAAGTCCTACCAATGACTTCACCACCACGGTGTGTTTGCTGACACCGCTGCAACCTCTTCCATCGTTCCCAGATTCACCTCCCGCCGCCGCCGCGCACTTGTCGCCGTTCAATCGTATGAACGAAGCAAGCGCTCTTCTAAACGAACCAAGCTTTCGTATGGACAAACCTCTTCTTATGAATGAGCCAGCTGGGGCAATTCAAGGATACAGAGCTGTTGTTGCACAGCCATTCTGAACGAGCCCATAATCCTGGTTAAGATCCAGCAGAAAAGCTCTTTTGTGCGCGCAGTGGCAACTCTGTCCAAGGCGACCGCACTCGTGAGCTTTGCGCGGGAAGTTGACTTAAACCTTAACCTGAATGGACGCTGTTAAAACAGGATCGCCAGTGCAAGTTGTTCCACGCTTGCATGTCTACAAATAGTCTGCGCAGTGTACATGAGGTCGATATGTCTTTGGTTATCTTCTATATACGCCCATTCTCAGCGCACGTGTGTGCGCAATCGCGCTCGGGAATCGTAGCCTTTAAGAGGGCTCCCACGTAATGCAAGCACGCCTCCCAAACGCACACAAACACTTGACTCATCGCCACTCTCCGCAAACCACACATCTCCAAAAACACCTCACAACACATCTTTATTCAACTCTCAAAACGCTCACAGGCGGGCATCAATCTTAGACATCCGAGCACCTAAACAATCTTCGATCTTCGGTCGCTCGCACTTCCAAATAGACCGTCTCAGCAACCCAGCTGCAATTGTACAGTGCAACCCTTAACCCCCCCTGAAAGCCCCACACTGCCACATGGAAAAAAACAGCCACAAAACGTTCTCCCCAGTATCATGGACTCAATAATTATCATTGTTGCTGCCCTTGCTGTTGTTGCTGCAGAGCAGCTTGCCATGCCGCAACCCGCTCCTGCATTGCCTGCAGTGTTCCAAAGGGAAACATGGTTTGCGGACTGCGGACTGCGGATGTGCACGGACTGCACGGACCATGGATCCTGAACCACGCAATCATCAAGATCACCGCAGCCGCCATTCCTCCTTCCCTCCTACCCATCCAGGCCGCCTCAACCAAACACGCAGCGCCACTTCCCAGTCCCTTGTCCCCTGCGACCCGCAATATCCACCCTGCAACCACGCCCTGCCCCAGCACCCTGCATGACGGGACATCTAATATGCACAGCCCAACAGCAGCCTCGCGGAGACCCGCGGCAACCCACCTTAAGCTTGGCCTCCGTAGCCGCCTGCTTCTCAACCTGTACCTCAGCTTTCTTCCTCCTGGGATGGGGAAGGAGGATGGGGCATGGCACGAAAGGGAAGGAGCGCGCATGAAAGCGCATGAAAGGAAAGGACCTGGAAGTGTCAAGGTGAAAGGGGACAGCAGCACCTTGGCAACAGAGCATAATGTGCAATCACGCCGTGTATGATGTGTGAAACAGGGGGGTGTATCTTCGCCCGTGGCAGCTACCCTGCGAAACCCTGCCTTCCCCGGTATTTCGGGGCACCCTCATCCAGTCACCCTAGTCAACTTCTCAGTGGATCGCTCAGGTTCCGCACCCACCACCAACATCCAACGGAATCTGCCGGGTCGACAGCGGCCCAACTCCGTTCCTGGTCGGCTCGCAGGTTGACTTTATCCCAGGTCACCACCGTCCATCAACTAGGGGCGCAATGCCTTCCACCATCGGAAGGACTTTTGACCCTAACGGGTATCGATCCCGGGATCTCCCGGGGGCAATGGTCGCGCCTTACCAGTGGTGCCAAACCCTTATATGTGTATGTATGCATGCGTGTATGTATGCGTGTATGTACGTATGTGCGTTACACCAGGACTCTCAAGTACAAGGACGCATCCATTTGTCGCGCTGAGGACGGTTCGTAGAGCAGCTGATTACTGCAGCTGTTATCAAGCCACACGCTTACTTGGCCTCCTCAAGCCGTGCAGCGATGCTGGCGGCGTCCTCCTCCCCCGTTGCCGCCACCACCGCTGCGGCCCGCACCGCCGGTGACTCCGCTTCAGCGCTGAACTTCCGCGTGGCGAAGGGGATTGCGGTTACGGTTGCGGGCGCGCCGGCCACGGCCACTCGAACACCTGGAAGCAGGGGGACCGCGGCCCGTAGTAGGGCCCCCATTGTATGCAAGTCAAAGAAGCTACTGCCGGCATCCAAAGCATAGGAGCCCCAGGCAAGGATGCAGCTGCCCTAAGTAGCTCCGGAACCCGTAGGTGAGAAGGCGTGAGGGGGACGCTTGCGGAGGGGCTTGCCTTTGGGTGTTAACCCGTTGCTTTCCCGACTCCCATTGCTCCACAAACGAACAAACATACGCACGTACGTACACATACGCACACAGTACATGGCCGCGGTCATCAGCTAGTCATCAACCGGTCCCCTGGACACCGCAAGAACACGCACACCACTCCCTTCATGTGGCCCCAACACGTGATGGATGAAAACACGCGTCGTCATGACGGCGTTTCATGACTCCTCACGTAGGCGGCATCGGAACACAATGCGCCGCGTTGCGTTCCCACCTTTCCTCGCTTCCCCCGCTTCTCGCGGCCCAGCAAGTCAAGGATTACCTACACACGCGCTGCACCGCACCTTCCAGCTCAATTTGCGTGCCCTCCAGTCGGCTCCTTAGGTAGCCCACTCCCACCCATTCCCCGTCCGCGTCCTGGCACGTACTCGTCACAACGCCAACCTGCCGTACACAAGGGCACGTCGTACATATACGATGCCGGTGGCTTAGGGACCTAACGGCCAAACGGCCTTGGCGAAACGGGCATCCTTACAGCAAATTGCAAAGCAGCCCCCAGAAATTTGCATTGCTTGCTGCCGTCGTTGGCGCCGGCAGCGCCGGCGGCAACGGCATGCGCTGCATCCCACGTACCGCCCAAACCACCGCACTTGCGAGATGATGATGACGACGACGACTCCGTTACGCTTTTCAGCGCGCGGTTCAGTGCGCACCTTGCTTAGTTCGCTGTAGATCTCCGCCCCTGGCGAGGTGGGTCCACTGAGTCTCAGTCCCCACAGCTGCCGGTTAACTCCATCACGTAAGTGCAGCTTGGCCAAGGTTTCCTGCCGTACAGACATAAACACACAGCAGTTACTACCACTTCAATGTTTGATTGACTACTTTCTTCGCAGCAAGTTGCTTGCGAGCCATCTTCTGCATTTCCTTCCCGCGACTCAGTCCACCGATACATACATACATACATTTTTCGACATTAGGTCGACCATGGCTTCGAGTATTAGAATTAGCTGGGAGTGTCATTTCCAATTCAATACGCGCCATATCCCGGGCGGGTGCGCCAATTAAGCTATAGAGTTCTGGCGTCCCGTATGCGCAGCTGTCGATGGACGTCGGCTGTCTGTCCTGTGGCACTGCGCGCTGCTGCCTACACTGTGTTTTATTAAATGCAGTATAAATTCGGAGAGAGAGGCGGAAATGCGCTTGTGCGCGTTTGAAAGTGGGCTGACTTTGATCCGAGCTCGCGGCTCGGCGCTTGCACACCGTTGCTTCCATCAACCAGAAAGAAATTAATTGGTGGGTTGCGTAAGCATATTTTGGCAGGAATACGCACCCCAAACCATCGTCGACCTAGAAGGTTAACCTAAGGGTGCATATATGGGGCGGAGGACTAAGGGCGGCTCTTAAGCATGGGGACCCGGGCGCCTGCCAGGCGGTTAGACAGGTGGACAGAGAACGTGAGCAAGGACAACCTGGGAGGGCACGGACCAACACCAGGAGCCATAAGTAGATACACTGACCACCAGGCACGTGTTGCTGCTCCATCAGCATGCGCCCGAACTTTTCTCTCGGCCCCTTACTCTTGCACGCACACACGCACATACATACGCACACCTGCCCAATATAACAGCCCTTGTTGAGGGATACGGCGCCGTACAGACCGGCCTCCAGTGGACTGTATGCCTCGGTGAGCTCGGACCCACGGGTCGGTCGCCCCGCCACGATGCGAGCCGCCTCCCAGTCATCCGTGCCCATGGGGATAGCGCCCTGCGGGCGGGTAAGGACAAAAACATGGGGTTGGGAGGAGGGCGCCCTAATGGAAGAATAAGAGGACAAATCGATCCTATACGTACTTTAAGTAGCGGATAGGGATGATGTGTGCATGTAGTAGTTGAAAGGGTGGGTGGCCCGGGGGGCTGGGGCTGCAGCACATTGGTACCGCGGAATGGAGGGGTGCTTGATTGCCAGGAAGAAGACAGACAGACAGACAGGGAAGACCATTCAGGAAGCAGTCTCGGAGACAATCAAAACAAAGAAGCAGCGCAGATTGCGCGAAGAACAAAACGAGGAAAAACAAACGAGAACAAAACCCATGAGGAGGAAAGAATGCGGAGGCGAGAGGAAGGGGGGAGCGGGGTGGGCTATCTTTTGCTTTGGCAACGCACCTTGGCAGCAAAGGCTGCATACAGGTCCCCGGCCACCGCCTCATCCGCCACCAATGTGTATCCGGGCACAGAAAGGCCCAAACCGCTCACAGCAGCCACGAACACAGGTTTACCTCGGAAGCCCACAAGCACATGGCGACCCGGAGGGCCGCTCAATACACCCGACAACACGTCCTGACCGACCAGGGCGTGAACGGGTTGGAGTTTTAGAGTTTTTTGCGCGTGTGAGCTGGATAACAGAAAAAAGATATGCGCGCTCTGAAAAGGCGGGTGCGGGGTTAGGGTTAGGGTAACCAGATGCAGGCGGCTGGATGAGCAAGACAGAGCAAACAGTCAATCAAGTGATTGTGAAGGGGAATACTACGAAAACGGACAGGCGCTCTTCCTCTGCTTCCTCCTCTACCTCTTCGTTCTTCCGCAGTCTCTCGCTCTCTTCCCAAGGCCCTTTTTGCCCCGTCCTCCCCCGCCCGCATTTGACCTCTTGCTCTTTGCATTTGTTTTCCCCCTCCTCCTCCTCCTCCCCCTCCTCCTCCACCACTCCACTCACCGGCGCCAGCTCCCGCAGCACCACCTCCGCCTCCGGACCCAACACAGCGATTTGGCCAGTGCGACTCGAAATGTCGTGAACCTGCAGCATTGCAGCCGTTGGAAATGCTTTTGACACCCAAACAATCCCACGAAAAAGCGGCTATCCTGAACAGCAATGATTGAATGCTGAGCAGTGTGGCCTCACGTGAGGCTGCCTAGGGTCGCGCTTTGCGTTGGCGAACGTGCGACACGGCGACACGGTCTCATATAGCGATGCTTGACGCACGTATTAATGAAAAGGATTGCACAATGACTCAAGACTTCGTGGCTTAAAGCCCCGGTACACAGTACCAACAGTCCATGAAAGGGGGGGAAAGGTGGTACTGGGCCCCCAAAAAAGCTCAGTCGTGACCGGCCGTGGAAGCAAAACCAAAAGCCGCAGCCTTCACCCCGACATGGCGTCCGCATCATCAGCGCCTCCTTCCGGCTGCGTTTTTTGCGCATCCATTGCGCCGACCACCCAGCCACCTACGTGTGCCCAGCCTGCCTTTCCTCTCACCATAACATTATCACCCCTGAATATGACCTTGTCCAGTCTGGCAGCCAGTGCCTCCCCCCCTTCCCTGGAGTCCACCAGCAGCAGTATAGAGCTGGGCAGCACCAGGGCGGTGGCTAGGTCCAGGCAGCGAGCTGTGGAGGTGACGAATGTCTGAAGGGAAACAGGCGATGGGGGGACAGGGCTTGGTCGATCTTTCTGCAGATCGTTACAGACTCTCAACCCAGGCTAGTCCGTACACGTACAAGGACAACAGCCAGAACTCCTGATGGTCACCTAACGCCAACTGGGCCCCCACACCGCTCACTAATGACCCCCCAACCCCTCTCACCTACCCCTTATCCCAATTTTTCAAAATCCTTCGTCCCCAAACCCCTTCCAACCCCCTTCCACACCGACCTGGCCATTGTTCCAAATGTACTACACCTCATCCGACGGCCCCCAGCACACACAGAGACCTATCGATTGTACTTACTTCTCGCGACTCCGTTCCTTAGAATAGACCAACCACGTACCGTATCGGCGCACTGTCCTGGCTGCAGCCTCTGAAAGTCCGCCGTACTCTGGTTGTGTAGCAGCGCCGTACGGTCCTCTCCTGTCACCCTCAGTCGTCCCCAGTGACTCTGATCCACTAACACCAGCCCAGTCTCCAGTGCCTGCAGCGCCTGACGCTTGCGGCCAAATGTAGCAGCCAGACCAGAGTCCTGCGCAGCGATGGGGAAGGGGTTTTGAGAAAAAGGGATTGAATCCGTCCATGGATTAGATTTGTGATTTGGGTTTTGACAATTTTTGACGCGATTCGATTTGGGTTTCGATAATTTCGCTCAAACTGATATTATATGTTGAACACTTGGCTCAAACTTATATGGGTTTTGTTCTGCAAGTATAAGCAACGGTAAACAGCGAGGTCAGCAAAAGGAGAGGACCTCAAGACACATGCTCGAGCCCAAGGCAAGAGCCACTAACGAA